TGTGGCTAGGTAATAGTTTTATGATTTCACTTTTAACACAGTCATACAGAAAGGACCAGCCCTTAACTGCAGTGAAATTCACAAATTGCTGTAGGGAACAATATATAGATTTTTTACTGGCATCTCACATAGCATTTATCAATAAACTTTTCAGCAAAAAGCTATAAAATGCTATATTTTCTGCTTAACAACTTATTTTTCATCTACGAAAGAGGAAAACAGAACAAAAATAGAAAATCATTTGCAGTTATCTGTTGAAGTTATTTATACATTTTATTTCAAGCTCAAATATCTTATGTATATATGTTTTAGGAAATCTACATAGCTCTGACAGGAAACAAAATAAAATCATCACAGCTGTATAAAATATTAGTTAACTGTCAATAAATATAAATTCGTTTTGGGGAACAGCATTAGGTTGAACAAATACACCTGTTGAACTGCAGCAAATAAACTACATAGTTTTGGTCTCATAACTGGAATAAGAATCTAATTCGTGGATGAGAACCTGATTTTTACATTTGCCATTTGTCAGGAAACCTCCACAAAACTTGTTATCATGTCTATTCCCTGCTACAGTAATGTTCTATATGGCACAAACCACAGCAAAAGTGACAAAAGTTAAAAGCATAATTGAAAGCATATTAAAATGAAAAGAGCATACATTAGATATAACATTGTGTCACCCTCATATATGTCATTATTTAACCAATATATGGGCTACTTTTGTGCACCAAAATGAATATACAGCCTCTTATCCGGAAATAATAATAAAATTATATATATATATATATATATATATATATATATATATATATATATATATATATATATATATATATATATATATATATATAAACAGAGCTACTGGGATAAAATGCAGATGGATTTTACATTTTGGTTTTCTCAAGATACATAAGGTGCAAATATTTCCTAAAAGGCATTTTTTTTTTCTTCAAATAAATCTGCTGTGATACGACTTCATTTTACAACATGAAAATGGTATGGTTTATGTGCACTAGCTCTGAAAATACATCCAGAGCTTTAATACTCCAAGAAAGATTTCTTGTCTATTTGCATAAAGATAAAGCAGGAAATTGTTTTATGACATGGAGATTAGAATTTGTGCTAATAACTTGTTACCTGATTACACCAACGACTCACCTAGGAGATTCAGTGCATTATCAAAAATAACTATCAAAATCACTCTAAAGGGCAAATATCTCTATTACAAATAATAAAAAACAAGCTTTAGCATTGCAGTATTTATACTACTTTTTTAAGCCTAAAACAGCTGAAAAACTAAGCACTCTCTACAAAAATGGTTCTGAAAACAGTCATATCCAGTAAATTGATCCCTCCACCCTGCTACTCTAAGAAAGCCACCGAGGTTCTAGGAAAGCATACCAAGTATATAATTCACATATAAAATAAGGATTCTATTTTTCCTTTTAAAAAGGTACGATAGTCATACTGAAATAGCTAGGTAAAGAGAGATTGTTTTTTAATTTTAAAAGGGATTTTACTATTTATTACAATATAATTTTCTTCAGTATAGTTTGGGCACGTTTTGACTTCTTTATTCAGCCATTCCTAAGTATTTTATTTCCTAGTGTAAAAAAATAGCAGAAAAAATAAAGGCATCTAAAGATATAGATAGTGTTTATCCAATAATAATATATTTTACATATTTTATACTAACTATGGCTATTGAACAGGTTTAGTAATGTGTTTTCATTCTGTATATTTTAATGAATAACTGTGCCAACACCAATTTATTCCTTGTAGAACTGTTTGATTTTTTTCAAATGAGGCCTATATTTATTATTAAGGGCTGCGATTGATATTCATTTTATGGCTATTCTATTCATGATCAGGGTCATCTGCAGATTATGTATATTAAACGGAATTCAATTCACAATGGCTAAATTGGCAGAAGACATAACATGAAATGGAAATATGTAAAAATGTTCATCATGTGACACTGTCCAATATAACCAAGAAGAACTCAATCTGTGTAAAAATGCTTACAAGTCCACTTTAAGTTCCATATACACTACAATTTATTGTAGACATTATGATCTAATGATTCTTTGTTTTTGAGTTGGTCAAAATTTGTGTCTCTTTTGCCACGAAGTCTGGCCCCTCGGTTGTCATAGAGATATGTGAAACATTTCTGCTGTCAACACAAATCCTTCACTGGATGACACTGAGAGACTCAAGAACCTTGCTTAGCTGACCCCAACAATGGACCGATTTACATAGATAATGTTTAAGTGAAACTTCTGCAGTATCTTGGCAGGAGCAGAGGGGCCAGGCTTTAGATGTCAGGAAAGTCAAATTGCTTAAAAATGGTTTGCTAAAAAACAGGACAGCACACAAAAACTTGGTGCTCCCTAACCATTACAAAAAGCTGTGGTGGTTATTGTCCTTAAATATATTTGATAGGTTAGCGGTACCATGGCAAGCTTTTTGCCAGAGATTGGCATACTTCATTGCTAAATGCAGTCTGTACAAATAAAGTTGCTGAGCCAAGGAAAGCAATCTAGTCACCTGGGAGAAGGAATGCTTGGTAAATAAATTAGGCATGAGCTGATTAACCCAGGAGACTGCAATTTTCCCTGAGCAAATCTACAAGATGGGGCTTTAATATACCATCCCACCCTCCGTAAAACACAAGTTACTGAAGTGAATGCTAAGTTACAATGAACAAACAGTACTTTGGCTGATTCCATAAATTAAATTATCTACAGTAACCTGTATGTCATGATACATTGGAAGAAAAGGAAATATTAGTTTAAAGAAGTGATTTTCTTTTTAAGTTAACCATATGCTTATTGCTGTGAATTTTAAATACTTGTGGTAGTGTGGGTGGGTCGACAGCACATTGACCCTGTCAACATATTACTTGCTGAAGTAATAGTGTAGAGTTTATTTCTGCAAGCACCATTGCCTTGTTATTGATGAAAACTTGTAGGCACTCACAGATCATTTTGCCCAAGACTCGACAAGTAAATTTTTTAAAATACATTTTTAATCAGCATCTTATATTATTATTTTTTGTTTTGTTATTGTGCCTATTAGACCCTATCCAATTTACAGGACACAAACCTTTATGTACATGTTGAAATGTTTGCATTGTCCATATTTTATACCAATGACCTTTGTTACACTGCTTTCCTAAAGACTTGATATTGTGTAATAACATCTGAGCATGTGTAAATGCTTCAAACACCAAAGTCTTTTAGAGAATTCATGGAGTGAATTATGAAAACTGAAGCAGACAATAGAGAGTATCAGTCAACTACTGTCTTCTAATATTCTTTTAAATCTGCATTGCAATGTTAGTGCATAGTTAGGACTTTTTTGTTTACCTTTTCTGAGATGGCTAATAATTATTCTTGCATTGGTTTTCTCAGGAAGCATCAGGCTATTTATGGTCTTATTAAACCTTATTTTCATTTTCAGTATATGAAACAACACTTATCAAAAACTAAAGCTCTATCAAATGTGATCAGCTCCATTAAAGCACACTTATTTTATACTTTTTGAGTCATCCTGGGGCATTTAATAATGTGTCCATGACGTCAAGGGGTAGCCTAAGCACCAAAATCACTAGTAGTAGTTATAGTGGCTGGAGTCCGTGGCGCCATCCCACAGTACCTGGGTCCCCCAGTGCCTGTCCTTATTCAGATTTCACTAAAGCGTTCACTCCTTCTTCTGCACTAGTGACATATATTCAGTTCATCTTTGGATGGATTAATTGCTGAGTCTATTAGAGGACATTTTCTATCAGTTAATTCTGTTCAACAAGGGCTGAAATTGCCATATCTCATGCAAAACAGGGAATTTCTTTTTTACCTAAATCTGAAAAAGATGCCAGATTTTGGGTGCCTATGGGGTAGCCAGTTAAAACCGTTTTGACTACTCACCATGGAATAGGGAATTTCTGGTACCATAACCACTACAACACACTGTAGAAGTTGTGGTGCTTAAACTGCCAATTTAATGATAACCCTTTCTCTGTCATAAGAATTAGTATTTGCAAACTCAATAACACATGGCAGCTCAATATCCAGTCTATTAAGGCATACAATCAGTTGTCTAAAACAGCATCTTTTCTAATGACACAAAAATACTTCTGCAGCAAAGCTAGCATTTTTTAAGAAACAAAAAAAATAAAAAAAATAAATGAAAAAAAAGCAAAGCAAACACACACAGAAACCTCCAGAAGCAATTTCTAGTATGGTGATTGGTGTTCTATTAAACTAGATTACAGTGTACTCAAACTGTAAAATTCCTGCATGCACTACAGGTAGATGAAATGTATTTGATTGCTCATTGGACACGGTTATTTAAAATGCATAATTTCTATGAATAAATAAAATTGTATATTTTAGCTTACAGGGGCACTCTAAATAAGAATTAAGGAACTGCAGAGGAAAAGGCAAATAGACCAGGCACATAATCCTAACAATGGTACACCAGACATTACTGCTAAACCATCCTGGAATTATTTTTTAAACTCACTCTCAATAAAAATGTAAGCATAAACTATTATATAAACCATTTGGAACTTAAATCTTCATGTACAAAATGACCGAAAATATTAACTATTAACTAGTGCAGTGCATCAGTGTTTTTTTTCTTTTTTTTCTTTTTTAATAACTAAGTATTATATGAAACTAATTTCACGCTCTGATTCAAACAAGAAATTCTTGGATGAGACAGTACAAATATCCTCTCCTACATTACTGATTCCTTCCACTTTTTAGCCTCAAAACAAAGCTTGAGGGTTATTCCATTATTGTTTTATTACTAGGCCACTCACAGGTTTATAAGGACATAGCCCAATCCCTAAGTTTCAAGTGATATCAGGGTTTTCCACACAATAAACACTTGTCTGCCCCTTCTTTCTTCCATTTCATGGATATCTGCCTTGCCAAGGCTCAAGGCTTATATTTAAATATAAAGGAAATGTTTTGTAACAACACAAAGCCTCATTGGTCAGCACAAGAAATTAGCACAGCAGTCTGAGGCATTTCTTTCTTCTGTCCATCCCGAGAATGAGTGGTTCTTGGACTCCTACAAGAAAAATAAAACAAAACCAAAATAATAAATTAATATCTGCTAATAAAAAAGCCATGACACTTGACAGTTTTACAGAATGACAATATCTGTACATTTATCAAATACCCATCCAACAATCCCGGCAGAGGTTGCATAATTAAACTAAGCCAGGAATAAACGTCTCTGAGAAAAATATCTCCACAGAAAACGTTTATAATGTAATCCATTGTTGACTCAACATATTATACAGACAGGGATGGAAAACTTACTTTTCACACTCAAAAGTTCCGTACTCATTGGTTATCTATAAGGAAGGGCCTTACTGAGTTTGAAAGCTGTCAAGGTTTCTATTGTTCCTATTTTGTTCACAGGTTTAACACTTTCATTGTAAAGCATGCATTATGTTGAGTTATATATCCTTTAGTATGAATTGGGATGACAATATCCATATATATAAGTGGTAATTTTTACATCCACGTTTCATGTTTCCTCCATATCTTTCTAGAAGATAGTTACCTTAAAACTGGAGCTAGCCTGACAGCCATCTCTTGTTTCACTGCATAGTTAAGGATCACTGCTAGATAATGATTACCCCATATTAATATTGAATGCGAGTTATGGTTCTTTCAATTTCTGAGGTATTGTAATACAGTGCAATGTGTTACCAAATGAACAGGATATTGTCTCCTGTACAACATATCTGGATAATTCTTATCTCTTCCTTTCCCGTATGTGTTGAGAAGAAGGGTATTATAACTAGGAAGATTCCAGAAAATACCCCAGTGTTTGTGGTAAGGGGCAAAAATATATATATGGTGGCTTAGTGGGGCACCAAGCCACTACCAAAGGATGAGGGGGCATCCTTATATTGTAGTAAATTTTTTAGGTGATATGCAGTCCTCGAGTCTCAACAAATATATCCATTCTCAACCCTCCATCCCCTTAAAGCGGCTGTGTCACCAAAAATATAGTTTATGTAATCTGATTCTACATAGTTACCTGTGTCTGAATCTGTTTTTAATTTTTTCGAGTGTTGTAGTTCTAATAAAACACATTAGGAAAAGTAGGGACTTACACAAGATATTGAGATCCAGAGCAAGAAAGAAAAGATATTAAATACATGGAAAATATAAAGAAAAAATTCCTGCACTCATGCTATGTTGTCCCTTGTGTGCCGGGTGCTAATCCAGGGCTTGATTATCCAAGTATCCAAAGAGGTAGCAGCATTCACGTATTTTAAAAGTTCTAGTCGTTATTAATTCATATTAAAAAAAAAATCACAATTAACGTTTCAGTCCACCAAACGGGACTTTCATCAGGATCAATACCAATAGGATACTTGGATACATATATTTTTAAGCGGCACTGTCATGCCAAACTTACCTTTCTTTAATCGATTCCTCTTCTCTCCCTCTGTCAGGATCTGTTCTTCATTTATTTCTTTCTGCTCTACTTTTGTTTAAAGCATCCCTACTTTGTCTTATGGAGATTTCCTACGCCTGACCATCTCAGACCAGCGGAGGAGCAAAGTGTGCTTCGTTTCCGGTGATCAAAGCATTTCCCACAATTCTCACCTTTGATCAGTGATCTTGCGATGCTTCTTGTCAGTATTCCCGAACGTCCTGTCACTTAGACAGAACGCTGGCGAAACTACTGAATTTCGTCCTAACAGAATGTGAACAGTTTCTCCATTTGTGTTAAGACACATTTTGGAGCTTTGTTCATATCGGAATTTCATTCATATGAATGAAACTCAGATCTTGCAGCCGCTTAGTAGATAGTTCCCTGATACCATGGGATTTAGGGAGTTATCTACCAAAAGGCTGAAAGCCCTACATTGGTCTTTCAGCCAAATGTACTAATACTAAGTAAAGATTACTTAGTATTAGTTAATGCTGCCACTACTCGCTATACCGCGAGTAGGGGCATGTCTAGTAAACAGTAAGCAGTGAAGTTTTTTTGCCCCCCCCCCCCATTTTTCAGCAGTTGCGATAACATTAAATTAGAATAGGTCGTTTTAGCAGAATTTGTATCCTATACCAGACTGTTTAAAATCTGTATCTTCTCCTGGTTTCACTTCCATTTTATACCTACCTTCATCTGTGTTAGTGCTTAATTGCATCCTATAGATGTGCAGCAAAATGGAGACTAAGTAATTATTATTAATGATAGGGTAACCAATTCCTCCTGTATCTAAATTTTGGGCTAGCTTTCATTGACTTAATCTTGATTTTCTACCTTTCCATATATACTGCATAAAACTATATTGAATCATTTCAAGCCAACTGTTTGGTATATTTAACGGTAGCATTTGAAACATATACTCCCATTTTGGGATCACATATGCATTTATTACATTTATCGTCTGCATAAAGACTGATTTTTAATTCTTCCTCTAATATTTTATACAAAGATTTTTGAGTTGTTTCTTATATTAATTGCTATAGGTTTAATTGATATTAAATGGGAGAGAGGGCATCCTTGACAGGTACCATATAAAAAACCCAAAAACAAAACAAAACATGGAGAACAGATATTTGGACCCATTGTACGTGCTGAAGGGTTAACATAAAATGCCCTTATTACTCTCTTAATCTAGCCACATAATCTATAACGTTCTAATGTAGCACCTATAAAGCTCCAGTTGACCCTGTTGAAGGCTTTCTCAGCATCGACCAACAGGGTCAACAGTGGAACCTTTTCCCTAAAAGCATTATCTAACATGTTTATAGTTCTTCGAATATTAGACGTTCTTCCAGGGATATAGCCTATTTGATCAGAATGGATAATAACTGGTAATACTTTCTTGATTCTTGCAGCTAAAATAGCAGCATAGAGTTTACTGTCAACATTGATAAGGGATATAGCTCTATAATTCAGTACATCAGTGGTCACTTTTTCTGTTTTAAAATGAGTAAAATGTTTTCTCTGGTCACTTCCTCCATGAAGGATATGTCAGGGCACAAAGGGCTATGATCGACGCAGCCGCGTCTGATCAGTGCGGCTGCGCCGATCAGAGAGTTACTTAGAAGTATCGGGGCGGCCGCAATAATCAGGCTGCACATGAGCAGGGCGGTCGCGCCGAAAAGGGAAAAAATAACTTTCCTGGGTCGCGGTGGAGTGCCATGAAGGCGGGTCCCAGCCCACATTAAAGATGGCGACGGCGTGCGCGTGACGTCACGATATTGACACACACACACGTTTTGGGTTCAAGGGCCATGTAATAACCAATCACAGCACTGAGAGGCATGTTTAAACCGTGTAATGCCTTTTCTCAGTGCCCTGTCGTGTCTTCCACTTGTTGGTTGTCAGAGAGCGCGTTCTTGGTATTGTATTTCTGGTTAATGACTTTGGCTATTGTTTTTGACTTTCCCTACTTATCCTGACCATTGCCTAGTTTATTTGAATGTTGGGTCACATAGTAATCGTGACAGGATCCTACTTGGGTCGCATAATTAAAATGGTTTGTTAGATATGGGGTTCTTTGATCTTTTAAAAACGTATAAAAAAAGATTATTATAACTGTCTGGACCTGGGGTTTCTACTTTTCAAAATTAGATATAGCTCAATTCACTTCTTCAATAGTGAATTCAATAGTTAGCTTTTTGTTTAAAGAAGATCTATCAGAATCGGTGATATGAGGTATTTAGTCACCAAAACAACTAGCGATGATATAAGGTCATTTAGTATTCCAGTGATATGAGGTTATTAGTCACCAAAACAACTTTAGCTTAATGAAGCAGTTTTTGTGTATATATCATGCCTCTGAAGTCTCACTGCTCAATTCTCTGCCATTTAGGAGTCCATGCAACCCTTGCCACACCTCCCCTAGAACTGCATAAACAAAGTGATTTAACTAATAAATGGCAGAGAATTCAGCAGTGAAACTGCAGGAGCATAATCTATACACCAAAACTGCTTCATTAAACTAAAGTTGTTTTGGTGACTATAGCGTTCTTTTAAGTTTTAAACATGCCTGAAACTGTCAGAAAGCTAGCTCTTCTGAATTGTTGACTAACTGTTCTGAGTCTGATAATTTAATTTTTATATGTCCTTTTAGTCCTGCCACACAAAAAAAGAATATTAACAAGAATTATCTTAATCCTTTCCATTTAGTTTAAATTTATTTTTTTACTCATTTTGAGTCGGTAAATCTAATATAAAATGTTCTTATGATTGTGCTTTCATGATTTTTGTGTATTACAAGATTGTGTATTGTATTGTAATTAATCCGCCTCCTACTTTCTCTTTCTATTACACTTCAAAATTCTGTTATAATCTAACAACTCATATCGAAATTATGTGCATTAGTGAATTAAGTGTTAAGGATCGACCGATATTGATTTTTTTAGAGTCGATACCGATAATCTGTGAACTTTCAGGCCGATAGCCGATAACTTACCGATATTCTGTACATTTACCTTAGAATGAGGGATTAATTTTCTAGTGAGTGTCACCGGCTGTGATAGGGCCATATAGGCTGGTTGGTTTAGGCCTAGCGAAACTAAGTGATGTAATGAAATGTTGTTAGAAGGAATAGTGTGTATGTATATATATATATATATATATACCCCATGCAGCAGGAAAGTACTTATGCAAAGCCCAAGTGAGGGGTGGGTATGTCATAATGCCGACCACAGAGGGCCTAGTAATGCCAAGTGTAAAGGCTTAGGACCTGAAACAAGACCAATATAATCATATATACTTACAACTTTAGCTATGTGCACAGTGTCAATCTGAGACCTATGAAGGGGATAATGAAACCACCCAAATAGATGCAGTTGGACCAAAGTGCTTAATGTGAGGTAAAGATAATGTAGGTGATGATGGAATTACAGTTACTCGAGGAGAATGCCTAATGAGGGCCTCAAGGATAGGTGCATTCTTGATAACAAGTAGCATAAAGGGGTAGTATGCAATCCCTGTAAAACAGATGAAATGGAAAATACTCAAAAGAGTTGCCGGAATAGGACGAGGTTGGTTGCCGACTGCCAGGCATGTGAACAAACATGATAATTCTTAGTGAGGACTACGTGTAGGAAATATGCGTATAAACCAGCGGGGGTGGGAAGGACCGATTGGGTCTAGCGTTCCAGGATTGCTGCGTTATCTGTGTTGCGATTAATGCGGGTGATAGGTAGGATGCGAATCAGAAAAAGGTTGTGTAGTTGTGTAACATTTGTATAGGACTGAGTTATGTTTATGATGAAACCGCAAAGTTACTAATAAACATCAAGTGTATGAAATGTTGAACAGAATAGAGACCGTATGTAAACTCTTATACACTTAATATAATACCTACCCACTGATCCAAATAATCATGTTGTCTGCAGACCGAGTCATAACGGGAACTGAGGCCCATGCCTCTAGAATGCAACAGTGGGTGAAAAGGTTTAGTGATTTTGATGGCCATATACCAGAAATAAGAATAGATATGAGATATAAAACATATGGTTAAAGGACATACTTATGGAACTCTTAGGAGTCTGATAAATACTTATAATTAGCCTAGAAGAATAAGGTAAAAGGCATCGGCACATGCTAGAATAATCATAGAATAACATGGTAATATTAGCATAAACTATAACTTTATTGCTTAATAAACATAACTGCATGAGATAAATTGAATGTATGTGGATCGTATGAATATGACAGTAAAAGTAATTACAATCCCCGGACCAGTTGAAATGCGGTTGACACGATTGAAACAAATTAGTGTAACAGAGAAAACATGCTGTTTGCAGATGGCAGAGATGTTAACCATTTCTAAAATGCTGATGAGGTCACACCGCATAAGGAACCTGAGAGGTTGAATGTAAAGTGAATGTATGCAAGTTTGTAAAATTCGATGTGGGCCGGATGGGGCCAGCAAACAAAGAAAACATTCAGTTATCGAATCGAATGCCTGCACCATGTGTTAGAGGCCTTAGAGGGCTACAGAATTTGCTGGTGCTATAGAAATAAAATAATAATACCATATATACTCGAGTATAAGTCGACCTGAATATAAGCAGAGGCCCCTAATTTTCCCACAAAAAAACTGGGAAACCTTATTGACTCGAGTATAAGCCTAAGGTGGGAAATGCAGCAGCTACTGGTAAATTTCTAAATAAAATTAGATCCCAATAAAATTACATGAATTGAATATTTATTTACAGTGTGTGTATATAATGAATTCAGTGTGTGTGTGTGTTTGTGTAGTGTGTGTATAAAATGAATGCAGTTTGTATTAGTGTATGTGAATATAATGCAGAGTGTGTGTGTATATAATGCAGAGTGTGTGCATTATATACACACACACTCTGCATTATATACACACACTCTGTGTGTAAATAATGCAGAGTGTGTGTTTGTGTAGTGTGTGTAAACTGGGTGGGAGGAAGGCATTTTTATTATTTTTAATATTTTTTTGAAATTTTTATATTATATATATTTTTTAATATTATTATTTTATTTTTTATTTATTTTTTATTTTAATATTATAAAAAAAAAATGTTTTGTCCCCCCTCCCTGCTTAATACCTATGGCAATCCCTGGCGGTCCAGTGGATGGGTTGTGCAGTGGGGGGGCTGGCAGGAAGCGTTTACATCCCTTTACAGCAGCTCCTGTCAGCTCCGTGCAGCTCATGTCAGCTGCCCTGTTCAGCTCACAGTGTAAGTCTCACGGTCAGCGGGTCTGACGGCCGTGGGTCTCGAAAGACTTACACTGTGAGCTGAACGGGGGAGCTGCACAGAGTTGACAGGAGCTGCTGTAAAGGTAAGTAAATGCTTCCTGCCGGCCCCCAACAGGATCCAACAGGACCGCCGGGCTTGTAATGAGCCCGGCGGTCCTGGTCTGTATTATGGCAATGTAAGTTGCCATAATACAGACACTGACTCCAGTATAAGCTGAGCGGGGCTTTTTCAGCACTAAAAATGTGCCAAGAAACTCGGCTTATACTCGAGTATATACGGTAATATTAAACAAACTGTAAATTAGCGTATCACCAGAAGAACTAGTGCAACTTCATACAGTAGTTAACAGACATAATTATGTCTGACAATTTTAAAGTATGATGCACTAGGCCTGTGCGCAGCTCAGAAAGGGCTAAGAGAATGTAAGTGGTGACAGTGAAATAAAACAGATTATTATCAAGGCAGTACCATAAAGGCTAACAACATGTGTAGGCTTAAATTTGGATCTGACATAAATTTGTCAGGGCCACATGTATAGGCCCAAGTTTAGGTCTGACGTCATTATGACCGACATAATATTTAACTATGTTTGACTAGGCTAGTATGGAGCACAGAAAGGGCATTGCTATGTAATAATATGTCTATATACTAAATGGAATAAATGTATAGTTTATTCCATCAGTGATTTAAATATTTCTCCCAAAAAAATGATAAGCCACAAAATTGAAGCCACCTGTCTAATATGGTATAGGTCCCCCTCGTGCTGCTAAAACAGCTCTCATGTGTAAAGACATAGAATCTACAAGACCTTTGAATTTGTCCTGTGGTATCCGGCACCAAGACATTAGCTGCAGATCTTCGAATTGAAACATCAATATTTTGGATTTTCTTGAATAAAGAAGAACCCTTTTTTGTAATCCAGGAGTGATGATACTTTTCTAATATATATATATATATATATATACACACACACACACACACATACATACACATAATATATAAGGTCTGTCCCAAAACTATCCAGGAATGTAATATGAGAAATAGAGACATTTATAAGACAAGATAGAAGATACAATAAACATAGGACAATGAAGCCTCAGTTCCCTACAAAGTAGGTACCTTGGGACCTCACATAGTTTTCTCAGCATCTCTTCCACTGTTCAAAACCCATTGATGGAATCGCCACCAGCTGCCTCGTATTTACTTGAACCTTATCGAAGGATTGAAATCTCTTCCCTTTCAAAGGTGATTTTAGTTTTGGGAAGAGCCAGAAGTTGCAGGGTTCCAAAACTTAACAGATTCTCAACCATCTTTCAAGCACTTGTGCCACACATTTAATTGCGCCTTGTGCATCATGCAATTAGTTTCCGCGGAGGAATGTTGAACGCAAAGCAAAATTTTATGCAGATTTGTTGCTCTACTCCCTTAATCATTTTGAATGTGACGGCCACATAATACACATGTTCACTCAAAAGCGTCTAGCACTCCCACTGACTAGCACAGTGAAGATGTCATTGTTCATGCATGCGCATTCCAATACACTCTCCTTGGCTGCCTGGTTACATTGATGTTGCAGAAACCGTTCTCGTAATATTAACAATGGCTTGACTTCTTCCAGCCAGATCCTGTATATGTTCTCAATTACAGGGTTATTCACGGAAGGGAGAATTGCTGGGAATTCAATTTTTTTTCCCCAAATAGCTGAATGGGAAGAATATCTGGCTTGTAGTATTTATCAGCTTCAGCTATTTTACCTTAAAATCCTGTATGATTGAGTACATGTACATGTGGGCTTTTTTGCACAGTGCTGTACTATGGTGTGCACCCTTACAGCTCTTGCACAAAGTGTGCCCTGGGGATTAACATAATTGTATATCATATACTCTGGCTGTAGTGCGTATCTCCCAAGTGTCCCTATCCCTCTATCCTAATTTCCTCTTTTCTAGAAGCTCCATATGGTTGGTGTGTCTGAATGTATAATGGAGCTCCACAGCAATAATTTTCACAGTAATAAGTCAATAAATGTGTATAGAACAAAAAAAATTATAACTTTTTATAGAGAATTGTTTCTAAACTAAATTTTAGTTGCATAAATTGATATTAATAAGTCACCTAAAAGTTCTCAAAACAGCAGAAACTGGTCACATTTCATCTAAAATGTAAGTGTCCATCTATATCCATTTGAAATGTTAGGAGGTATGCAAGTGTAAAATGAAACTTAAAAAAGACTAAACATAAGCTATCTTTTACTTTCGTTTTTTACTTTAGTAGTTTTTAGCATAAGTCTAAGATGCTGCGCTATCTGTTTAAATTAAAGATTAGATCTGTTATAGCCCCATCTAGTGGAAAATTAAAATCATACAATGATTTTTTTAAGCCACTTTTTAGAAGTTGTTTATCAGTCACTAAACAACTAAATGTAATGAATTGTTAATTGGATTGCAACACACAAAACTAAATTGCTAAATTAACTAATTTTGACAAAATGTTGCAATTCAGTTTTACATTCAATACAATTTGTGTTTAGTTAAAAAAAAAAAAAACATCATTAAACTCAAATGGTACAGCTATACAAATATGAAAATTACTACGGAATCTATCTGCTGATTCTTCAGAATGCTTTAAGATGAAAAAACAAAAATCACACAAAACCCTTTTATTTGTTTTCCAAATATTTTTGGCAACTGCTTCTAAAGAGTTAATATAGACAAGGGAATCACTGTGTTCTGATTTTCAAATGGATTAGCAATTTGTCATTAAAGAGACACTATAGTCACCAGCCACTCAGACAGCCACTAGGGCACTTTAGTGTTAGGAATATAACTTTGTATTTCTAACACTATAGAATCCCTTTAGATTGCCCAACATGCTTATATAAATGACAATAAACCCTCTTGAATTCAGTGGTAGACAAATCCTTTCTGAAGAGTGTTCTGCTTACACAGCAAAATGGAATGCCAGACATAACTACTTACTATATGACTTTCACTGGAATCTTAGACAAAGCCACACATAATTTCCATGATGGAAAGGAGTACTAACCTGTGAACATTTTCCATTGCTGCCACTTCAGCCAGAGCAGCCAGACTAAAGAATGCAGATACAGTTGGCATCTCTTGTGTTATACTGTGGTTCTCTTCAGCTTTTCCAGAGATCAAACTTTCTGCTCTGCAGTTCCCCTCTTTGTTGCAAAGCTCCTGACAAGTGTCTGTGTTTGTTTTCTCTTCTGCATAAAATATAAACACCACTTGTTAACAGTGATTGAAAAGCCATATGCATTTAGTGTTTGTCATTAGAATCACTTAACCGTGGGGTATATTTAAAATCTCCCATGTGCAAAAGACCAAATAAATCTTAAACATTACTGTGACTCAATTTTATGAAAACCTTTTAAATATGTAATAAAAAAGACGGTGTCTCTGTAGTCCGGAAAAAGCTAAGGGAAGTACTACCTGACCAGACAGTAAGTTCCTTTGTCTCCACACTTCTGGAAATCATCCTGAACATTAGTTTATTTTGATATCTCATGCTCTGTTATGAGCAGGTGCTGGGAAATGCGATAGGTGCAAACACGTCACTCTGCTACGCTAAGCTGTTCACGTTGGACTTTGAGGAGCAATTTCTGTACAAGAAGACCACATTTTATTCAAATGTATCCATCTGGTTACGGTATATTGAAGATTGCCATTGCCATCCTGACATTGTCTTTTTTTGTGAGTAAACATAATCATATGTGTATCCACCTCTATACTAAACCTACTGACTCAAACAGTATTAAGTGCCCAGAATTTTCATCTGATTAAACAGACAAATTCTAAATCCAGACAAAGCTTAAAAAAATTAAGTGAAAATAGTTGATACTGTTTTCTTTCAATTTGAAGTTAAATGAAGGCATCTGTTTGCGTATGTGTTAGTGCTTTGCTAAACAAATTTTGGAATGCTGTCCGTTGACTTAAGGGACACTGTAGGCACCCAGACCACTTGAGCTCATTGAAGTGGTCTGGGTGCAGTGCCCCTATTGCACTTAGTGCTGCAATGTAAAACATTGCAGTTCAAGAGAACTGCAATGCTTATATAGCAGCTCTAAGTCTTCCCTCAGTGGCTGTCTACCAGACAGCCACTGGGCACTTCTGGATTCCAAACTGACTTTTGGTCCGTTATTTGATGCTGGACGTCCTCACGCTCTGCATGACGACCTCCAGTGTCAGATTTTCCCCATAGGAAAGCATTGAATAATGCTTTCCTATGGGGAGGTCTAATGTGCGCGCGGCCATTGTCGCACTTGCCCATTAGGTCTCCCGCGCTGGCTGACAGCAGCGAAGTAGGAGCGTGGGCGGAGCCTGACCCAGCACCTAGGGACAGAATTGGTAAGTGGTAAGTGGCTGTGGGAGGGGGACTTTTGGTCCGTTATTTGATGCTGGACGTCCTCACGCTCTGCATGACGACCTCCAGTGTCAGATTTTCCCCATAGGAAAGCATTGAATAATGCTTTCCTATGGGGAGGTCTAATGTGCGCGCGGCCATTGTCGCACTTGCCCATTAGGTCTCCCGCGCTGGCTGACAGCAGCGAGGTAGGAGCGTGGGCGGAGCCTGACCCAGCACCTAGGGACAGAATTGGTAAGTGGTAAGTGGCTGTGGGAGGGGGGAGTGCCAGGAATACGGCTTTGTTATAGGATCCCTTTAGTTTGGATCAATAAAAGTCAAGTGTTAATTTTTAAGCAAACATTGTGTACTAAAACTATAACTGGAGAATGCTTCCTGTGTAAACCATGATGTATATGGAAACAATGTTAATGTACAAATAACCATTCAGCTGAAACTTTTGGCTTATGAGGATATTTTACACCACGCCAACACCTCTTTACAATCATTTGTATAGCTCATCTATCCTCTAGAACAGCCTTTCCCATCTGATGTTCCGCGGAACCCTGGCGCTCTGCAAGAACAAAATTGGGGTACCAAAGCGATTTGCCCATCGGGTGGCCCAAGCATTTAGGGCCACCCGATGAATATCGCTAAACAAAGGGTCAATCAGGATCCACGGCCGTCTAAGACCGCAACCGGACCCCTTTTAGTAATGATTCTGGGAGGAAGTGACAGCACTTCCTTCCAGACAAAGTGCGGAGAGAGTGGAGGGAGAGAGAGAGCAGCAAGGACTGAGCAGCTGCCGACCTGGCTCACCAGCCTCAGCCAGCAGCACTTTTTTCCTGCAGAAAATAGGTAAGTGAACAGGAGGGTGACTGCAAAAATAAACATATGTGTGTCTATGTGTGTGTGTACCTGTGTCAGTGTGTGCATCTGTATGTCAATGTGTATCTGCAAGTGTATGTTTCTGTGTGTGTATATGCCAGTTTGTGTATCTGTGTGTCAAGGTGTGTGTATGTGTCACTGTGTGTTTGTGCTAGTGTTTATCTGTGTGTCAGTGTGTCTATGTCTCAGTGTATCTGTCAGTGTGTGTGTATGTGCCAATGTGTGTAGTTCCCAGTGTGTGTATCTGTGTGTCAAAGTGTGTATCTGTCAATATGTGTGTGTATCTGTGTGTCAGTATATCTGAGTGTTTGTGTGTGTGTGTATGTGTGTATCTATCTGTGTGCCAGTGTGTGTATTTGTGTGTTAGGGTGTGTATCTGTATATCAGTGTGTTAGGTGTAATTAAATACAAAAGCAGTTCTAGTTATTTTACCTGGTGTAGTGAAAGTTGGTTGCAAAGTCACACCTTCTTTCGATATACTCTATATGAATTCTCACTGTGCAAGTGTTCTACTTTAAAAACAAACTACAGAATGAAAACAAAATATATCAGTATTTATCCAAAACAGTCTTACCCAAAGTCTGATCTCCTGAAGAAGTCTGACACTCCTCATTCCGTACAAGATGTGTTATTTTATTTTTTCTTGCTTTTCTTTTTTGGCTTCCAACAAGAGGTTCCTGAATGGCTGTAGGTTCCGGAATGTGGGGAACTGAAGCAAAATTACTAGATCTGGACGTGTTGTCTGTGGTGTTTTTTTCTTCTAATATGGCTAAAATACAATAGAAAATTAAGTCTGTCTTTAAAGAACTTTTAGAATCTTTATACCAGATTAGGCAGCACAAATGACAAGAAACAATTGGTATAGAAACAATGTTAAAAAAAGCTCTACTCTTACAAGCCTGGAAATGTAAGCAATTCAGTTCTATTGCAAAGAGAAGCTTTATGTTATTTGTAATCAATGTGGAAAAAAATGACAAAATAGATATAAAAAGTTTTGAAAAAGCAAAAAGCCCTAGAGTATATTGAATTTGAAAAAAAAGTAATCAATACTAGTTAACGTTACACTATAGTCACCAAGATCAATCAGATAAGTTATGGGATGGGGAGGGTGATGTTGCTTACTGACAATCCTTGACACAGTGTGCCAATGATTTTAGTAAGGGTACAGAAGAAACAAGTAAAGGGTTATACATATTTTAGTACTCTCTATTTAATACCTCAGATTACTTTACTCATTTCCCTTTGGGTATATAGATGTCAATGCCTACAAAACATTTTAGGACTCGTTTATGCTACCAGTTAGATCAACTCCCTCACTGATTGGCCATTTTAGTAATAAACAATTTTGCAAAAAGAGACATGTTCTACATCAGTGGTTCTTCTACCTATGGGTCTCTAAAATCGCATGCTTATTTCTATAGGTGCCCACAAGCTACACCCTACATATCAGAATCAAAGCATCTATAAACAATAAATTGTTTAAAGAAAAAATATAGTGTTAGAAATACAAAACTGTATTCCTAACACTACAGTGTCCTTCAGCATCCATGTCCCGCCCTCACCCAGGTCATGAAAGATTTAAAAACACTTTATTTTACTTACCTGATTCCATAGCCGAGTTCTCTCGGTGCTGGATCGATCTCCTCCTCGAGTGACATCACGGTGATAGGGGAAATCAAATGCACAGCAAGTGCTGTGCACACATTAGGATTTTCCAATGAAAGGACCGAACCAATGCTTTCCTTTTGGGATGTTCAAGACGTTGGACATCCTTATGCAAAGCGTGAGGATGCCCAGCGTAGTTTCCTGAAGTTAAACTCAAGGAAGCTATAAACAGTTAACATTGCAGGGTTAAGTGGACAGGGGCACTTCACTCAGAGCACTGCATTGCAATAAGGTGAACTGGTCTGCGTCCCTGTAGTATCTCTTTGAGGAAATGTTAAAAATATTTAGCAGAATTTTGTTTTGTTACCAGTGGCCACTGGAGGTGAACATGCCTGCGAGTAATGATTATACTCACTAGAACAACTACATTAAGCTGTAATTGTTCTAGTGACTATGTACCACAACGTGCACACAAAAACTTGATGATCTCAGCCAATACAATGCTTTCCCACAGAAAAAGGAGGCTATTCTGCATGCACGGCAGAACGATGCGCCAATCAGCATGATAAAGATGCTTTGAATCAATGCATCTCTATGGGGGAATGTACAGCGCCTCCAAGAGTTGTGGAGACGCTGCACACTAACACTGGAAGAACCTCTAGTGGTCCCCTGAGTGACTGTACTATGTACTGTACTAAGTGTTATTAGGCACCAACGTAAATACTGCCTTTTCTGCCAGACACCATAACAGCTACATTAAGCTGTAGTTGTTCTCGTGACTATAGTGTCCCTTTAAGAAAGAGAACAAATATATAAAAATTTAAGCTGGAGATGATTTCATTATTTCTAATAATGTTTTCACTAAAGTGAAAACATTGTCAGAAATTCAAAGTGATTTTCACATCGTTTTACCAAAATAGCTCAATAAATAATAAAACAATAATCAAAAAAAAAATCATCTGTTTTAAATTTGTCTATTTTGGCTTAAAATTTTAATTTACATATTGAATTTCACTTTGCAAGATTTATTTACTAAACTCCACCTTCTACTGAAATTAAGTCAGATTGGGGAAATATAAATAATTGTTGATCTGGAAAAAAAAATCAGCTAAGGTCACATCTTTGTTTAGCCTCAATTTTTCCATTCAGATTATTATTGACTAAATTGAAAGTTTAGTGAATGACCTTCAGAGTAAATTTTTCTGGTCCTATACATTTACACACTGAGCTACTCAAATGTCTATGAAATGTAGAAATATTAATAAAAAGTTTTTATTTTTCCTTATACATCTATTGGTACACTACTTGTATAAATATGGATATAGGTTATGATATGTGGTATATGAGCATCTGACACATCACCCCACCCAAAAAAAATGTTTTGTTTAAACCATACATTTTTAAAATGGCACAGTAAATGAATACAAATATATACCTTTATCCGAATTACTTTGCTTGTCTTTTTTATGCTTGTATTTGTTTACAATTTTGTGGAACAGGTTCTTCTTTTGTGACTGGAATGCACCTGTAGGACAACAAAAAGTACATAATTTGTAACTTAATATGATTTGCAGTATTGATGATTCTAGTCCAAGTTCCCTGGACAATATACTTCATTTACGTTTCTCACACAAAGGTTTTCTACTATAAAGTCAAAACAGCAGTTTCTGTAAAATAAATAAAAAAAAATAAAAAAAAGTTCTACAACTATTTGTAAAGTCAAAATTACATACATTAGTTTTTTTTGTTTTTTACTATACCCCAAATTTTAGTAAATTTAAAAACCGAGTTGCAAATGGTAAAAACAACTGATTTGGGAAAATTCACCATCTAAGGCCTCAATTTAATATTATTGTATAAGATTTTCAAAAGGTTTAATATTTGTGGATACACTTTTAAAATAATTTAATATTTAGAAAAATATTTTAATATTTTTTATATATGTTTTGCATATGATTTATTTTTTAATGTTTTAATATTTTGAGGAAAAAAATCATTTTAAAAGTGTATGCAAAAATATTAAACTGTTTTAAATGTATTTATGGATATTAAATTGATGCCTAAACTATATCCACACTTTGATTATTTGCCCAAAATGTTCCTTTTTAAAAAATAAATTAAAAAATCTTTATTTTCCTTGTGCAAGGGGTGGACAATACACGTGGTAAATATTCCAGGTTGGAGTGTATTGGCAGAGTAGTAGAACATACCAATAAAATTTAAAGGACATACAGGTTACGCCTATATAGTAAACTAAGTAATGTGGGGCTTATTAATTTTGCTGAGACCACGAAAATAGCAGGGAGACCCAGTCCTATGGGTCTTAGATAAAAAAAGCAGTGATCATGTTGTAGAGAGGAGAAGTAATTGGGACTCTGGTCAGTCAGGGGTTTTAACTATTATATTACGCTCAATAACCCCATAGCATTTGGGGGGGATTTGGCGGTTACATTGTCCTTTTCTCAGGACAGCTCATAAGAGGTATGCAGGCATCTCGAGTCAACAGTGTAAACTAAAAACTTAAACTTAAACATTTCTGAGCGATACGCTAAAATAATAATGAACATTATTAACGATGGGACTGGTGAAGGAGTCAGTCCGTCACTGCTCGGCCGCTGGGTGCTTTTTCTGTATCAGCTGTAGTCAGCTGCGGCAAGTGGGGTAAAAGGGACGATCCTGCGTACATCCCAGCTGTGACCTGGATGGGTCGTGCTGTTTAACCCCTTAAGGACACATGACGTGTGATATGTCATGATTCCATTTTATTCCAGAAGTTTGGTCCTTAAGGGGTTAAAGGCAGAGTAAGGCCCAGTCCCTGGAGGAAGGTTGTGGAGTCCTCTGCAGTGGAGAGCTGGTGAGTGTGTCCATCCCTGCTGACTATTAGTGCTCGAGAGGTTCCCCACTTGTAGCTGATGTTTCCTGCAGGAATTGGAGTTGCATCTCCTCAAACTGAAAGGGTGTTCTTTCAGTGCTTCTAACAGGGCCAGCTTGTCACGAAGCAGTGGGAAGCGTACCAGAACATCTCTGGGAACACCAGTCGGCGCCCTGTTTGACTTGGCAAGTTGGAAGCAGCGGTCTACTTGAAGCGCTGAGAGCGCTGTGGCAGTAGAGTGGCCAATAGTAGTCGTAGAAAGTGAGGCAGTTCATGTTCGGTAACTGATTCAGCGATGCCCCTGATTCTGAGGTTATTGCGCCTCCGCATGTCATCCAGGGTATCCAGTCTAACCTGCATGGTTTTGCGGGATGCCTGAAGTTGATGTAATACCTTGTTGGTGTCTGTTTGAGTTTGGGCAATGGAGGAGATGTTGTCAGCCTGTACTCTGGCTGTCACCACTGTGATATCCTCACGGATTATATCAAGATCAGCATTGAAGAAGGCTCTTATGTTTGTCATCAGAGCTTTGATGTCCCCCTTTGTAGCTGGGGCTGATAGGTCTTCCCCTTGATGTGGGGTGAATATGCTCTCAGTTCGAGGTATGTCATCGGGTTCATTGAGGAGTTCTTCCACGGAGGAGGAATAATGTGGGTCTGGCCATGGCGCCATTTTGAGACTAGGACGGCAATATCTTGGGAGCTGTCCCCTGTGAGGGTTCTAAGATTTTTCAACCCTTTTCCCATTGAGAGCTGAGGTGCTAGTCCCGAGCTCGGGCTGAATTAGGGTAGCTATGTGCCCCAAGTTTGCTGAATGCAGTGCCAGCCATGGGAGCTTAGCCAACATGTGTCCGCTCCCTTCAGCGTTCAAGCCACGCCCCCCTAAATTTTCCTTTGAAAATTATATTTACTTCCTTATTATTGAGGCAAAATATTTGTACAGGAAAACAGCATTTGGTTGTGCCAGGCCACCATTAACATTTTTGGTGCTGTAGAAATGACACTGGTTTCTCAGTCAGTGTCAATCCAGTGGCATACACGAGCTAACAGTGATCTATTCTACAAATATTCTGGCTAAAAAATTAGGAAGTGGAACATCTCCATTATCATTTCACAAGCGGAGGGGTATGTTATGTGTGCTTAAAATTCTCTCATTTTTTTTTCTGTTTTGTCAAACTGCTTAAAATCGTTCTGACAAAACGACCAAACAAATTAAATAAAGCACTCAGCCTCCTTCCAACATAAGTAATACAATAAGCTGAACTTGCTGGGGGATCCCTTTAAGAATGTTTAAAGTATCACTTTCAGTTATACATATAAAAGATACATTGCATATTATAACAATAAGAAAACTAGGTCACAAGGAAGAACGCCTAGATTTGTTTATGGCTTTGCAAACAGATGTCTTAGTAAACATGACCTCAGAGGTCTATATGCTGAGTTGACATTGGAGTATATCAAATCATTATTTTTGGTTTGATTCAACTTTTTATTTACAATTATAGGTAATTATGGCATATAGATTTATCTACAGGAGGCATGACTGGGAAGTGTGCCTACTGTCCTGGTGATGTAATATAGATACAATTGTTGTGGTCTGGAAAGCCACACAGGAAAGTTTTAATAAATTGTATAGTTTCTCAATACAATTGAGTGGGGAGCGGTATAAGTTCAGCAATATTAATGTTTATAGACGTAGAATTTTTTATAGCTGATAAGGAAATGAATGCCAAATGTTTTTTAAAGTACTAATGGAAATATTCTGCATAATTGTGGTCACTATTCCACTTGGCTTAACAATGACAATTACTTAGATTAAAAACAAATTGTACAGATGAAGTAACAAAGAAACAAGAGGAAGATAAAAATATTCATTTAAAAAAAGAAGCTGTTAGAGAGGTAGTGGAGAGATTTAGAGACACTTTTATTTGAAAGATAAAAAATAAAAGAAGCATGGGATATTGAAAGATAGTTTACTAGTCGTTTTTGATTTTAATTGAAAACATTCGGAGATTATTGGGATTATAGAGATATTTGGTATATTCCATTTACTGATAATGATTTAAAGAGAATTGTGTAAAAAAAAAAAAAAAATCCCTTTTAAAGAGCAGGGCATTTTAAAATTCATTTTATCTAGAGTTTTCTAACGGGAATGAAAGTTGAAAATGTTTTCAGTAAAACAAAAGTTTTTTTTGGATGTAATAAGTGTCTGGGTTGTCTAAGTGAGGAAGAAAATAACCGTAAAAAAAGATTTAAGGCAAAGGTATGATAGCCAAAAGAAGCTTAAAATTTTTCTGCCGACAAAAAAACTTGCTATCTCGAGAAAACTTGTTCTCTCAACATGACAAGTTGCTTTCTCAACATAACAAGTTGACATAAATATTTTCTTGACATAAGTTGTTTTATGAAGAATATTTGTTTACACTCACTACTCTGGGGATTCAGGAAAGGAATTTGAAGTTGAAGAACAAATTATCTTCTGAAATGTTCTACCTCTTGGGCTGTCTTATATGAAATTCTATGAGGGTGTAATTATTCTTTAATATTTAAAGGGACACTATAGTCACCTGAACAACTACAGCTTAATGTAGTTGTTCAGGTGAGATCTATAGCTCCCTGCAGGCAATCTAATGTAAACACTGTATTTTCATACAAAAAATAAAAATATGTCTGACGTGTGCAGGAGAGAGAAGGCACTGTATGTGCGCCTTCTATCTCCTGCCTGTCAGCAGAGGAGACGGGGCGGGCAAAGACCGCGAGCTGTCAGCTCAGCTCACGGCCTCGCACACCGCGCGCATGCGCAGTAGTGCGCTCAGGACTTCATAGGGCAGCATGAATGGAAGCGTCTGATTGCTCCCTGCTCGCGCCCGCCTATTTCGTCATTTTGACGAAATAGGGGGCGCGGTATCATGAGGCTCCCGGCGCTGGAACCAGGTGAGTAAAAAGGGCTGCCTGGAGTGACCTTTTTACATTTACTGCCTGTCTATGCAGGCCTTTTAATGTAGACACCAGAACAACTACATTAAGCTGTAGTTGTTCTGGTGACTATAGTGTCCTTTTAATTTCAGATCAACAGCAAAACAAATATGGGAAAGGCTAAACTTGATGGACACATGTCTCTTTTCAGCTATGTAACTATGTCATTAAGAGAACCATTTAAAAAAATTTTTATACATTAATTTAAATATTTAGTTGATAAACCCTATTTTTTAAATGGACTGATTGAGAAGGTTGTACTTTATATTAGAGGTTGATCTTCACAATTGGAAAAGAGATATCATCCTTTAACACTAGACAGGCACACTTGAAAAAACTCCAGTGGGTAAAGCAAAACATGTTGTTTGGGTATGTCAAGTAATGTCAAGTATTACTTTGCCGAAGATGAAGATAGAATTGCACCTGCAAAATGCCAACTGCAGCGCAAAGAGCTCATGCTAAACCTTTACAAGTCATAGCAGTATTTTATGAACAATTTTAAATTTGCATGTGAGCAGTCTGAAAAACAAAGGTGTTTTGGTTTGTAGATATCCAGATATAGATAGGTCTCCTATATTTGAATCCACTCCAAGCTAGGGTCTGATCATCACCATGCAAACAAGTGTTACTGGTGCTATATCACTCCAAACCTGTGAGTTTGGTTCAAAAGATGTGTGGGATTAATTCAATATTATTCCAGTGCTGCACTATGAATATTGTTTCTTTTTTGTATCAGGTTTATACTATTGAAAATAATGAATATACCACAATATATAAGCATATTATTTTGCGTACCATTTTTTTGTATTTGACTCCAAAATAGACCCAGAATAGAATAAACATGTACTACAGTTCATGCAATTAGCAGTCTTTTTCTGGAATTGGGTTGGAAATTACATTCACAATGAACCATTATTTATTGGAGTAAAGGAACAAGGAACTGCCACCTTCCTGACAGTGACAGCTCTTCTTTAAAAGTTTGCAAATAATCACCATTGCAATCCTTTACAGTACCCTTTTTAACTGTTGGCGTCAATTTTTTTAAAGTTATTAGATATGATTCCTTAGAGGGACCAAGCCACAAGCACCATAGTAAATATACTCACTAGTAATTAACAATTCCTCTAATTGGCCTTCTGTTTTAAAGGTAAAGATCTTATTTAAGGATTTTCTTTTCTATTGCACCAATGTCCCGATGGGTCGTGATGTTATTTATTTTGTGGATTTCAACAGAATGAAAATGAGGATGCATAGGTGACTACATTGGATTTGATTTAAGTACTAAATCATCAATATTTTTTTCATGGCAAAGGCAGGGAAAACACCCATGTTCACCTATATTTAAGATTATGAGAAAAATAATATTCAATGTTTTTTCTCTCTCGAATGTTTGAATTAGATTGGCGGCAGTAATGAGTATCCAACTGGCACTTGACTTTGGGGGAGTTGTGAGAATGATCTTTCTGGGCTTGGTAGGGTTTTAGTTGTTAGTAGAGTGTTTGTATTGTAATACTTAAGACTCCTACCTTTGTTGATTTTCTGTTGTTCAGCTTGTCCACTGCAAGCCTTTTTCTTCTTTCTAGGGACTGCAGCATTTTTGCGGTCAAATGTAACAGGGCTGTACTGAGGAAGGCTATTGAATTTCTTTTCAAACTCTTCTTCCAGCTTTGCTAAACTAGAATCCACAGAGACAAATCAAACAAACATTCCACTCAATATAAGGTTCTACACAAATGTACAAAGCAAGCAGGGTTATGATAACAAATGACGGTTAAGGTTTTTACAATCAACAATTAATATTTAGAATAAATGAAAATGTTTTATAATGAAGCATCTGGAAACAATAGGTTTGTCATGAGACTAGCAATATACCCAATGGTAGACTCTTCCTTTGGCTTAGTCTTTTTTAATTTCTTGCTACTGCTAGTTCCTGTTTGATTGTACGTCCAGTTGTCTTCATTCCAGCAGCCTTCGTGGTCTGATGAGTTGCCCTTTAATGAATTTCTCTTGCCTGAATTAAAAACAAAACAAAACAAAACACAGTAATAATGAAAAATAGGCTAAAATATCATATGTATGTATTTCACATTTCTTTCTGGTCACGATGGTCCCATGTTGTGTTAATACAGACATATTTGATTTAAATTTTCAAGAAACATATGTTGCATTCTAGTCTGTTAAACTGTTGAGCACCCCTGGTTTCTATCTAATATGTTCTTATGTACAAGCCACCTGTATCCTCTTCTGTCTCTTTCTCCCTCCTACATATGTTAAAAGGAAAAGCAAACTGAAGGCCTTTCCTCACCTTTTGGGTCAAGATGGTTCACAGAGGTGTTTGTACCTCCTGTGGATACGGGCTGCTCTCCACTCTGATTCCTCCAGTCAAGAAAGGCTCAATTAAACCAGAGCTTCAGGAGAAATATAATATCATGTCTAAATATGTACTATAATTTGTTTAGCAATTGATGGACTACAATTCAGAAAGCTGTTTGTGCTCACTGGAGACATGGTGAGAAATGTATTTCCAACTGCACTAAGAAGTGGTATACTCATTAAGGGAACGATATGCATTGCTAAATTAAAAGGATGCACCATAACAACTACAGCTCAATTTACTGAAGTCTAGCATTTAAATATTTATATATTATTTTACATAATTATGTAATTGTATTAATTATATAATGGGGGACCTGCCTGACAAATCAGACAGAAAGCCATATATTTGACTAATGTAACTTTCCAAAATCCCAGAAAACGTGTACATGGTGGGTACTGATGTACTCGTAAGACATCGCTGAACACAAATATAAGTGTTTAAGAGCAGTAAAACGTGTAATAACAATAATATCATTGGAGAAAGGTCTGTTTTTTGTGAGAAATGCAAAAAACAAATATGAACACTAACTTTGGCCAGGGTTTGTGACTAAGTGGCTACTAAAAAAGACTTGACATACCTCATTTTGAATATCCTGGGACATACCCCATTTTGAATATCTTACAAATAGTATGCCATAATGGGGTAATTTTCATTCCTGGGCTGCCATACAGTCCAAAGACTACATAAACGCAGCAAACCAATCTGGCAAATTTCAATGTGTAAAAACTGAAAAGGGCAAATTCTTTATTTGACCCTGTAACTTTCTAACACACCATTAAACCTCTACACGTGGGGCATCACATCATACAAATACGTGTGTTTTATTGCAGTAAAAGCTAACCGTATTATGACATTCACAGTTAAAGTGCCATTCGGAGCTTGGTAAATACATTTTCTTAATTTCTCATACTTTTTCAGGTTTTATCCACATGACATAGTGTTCCATATATAAATATTTTATGTGAAATGAATTTCACCTGAATAAAATTATATATAAAAAGTGTAGGTGCACTTAATATGAAAGAGGTAATGTATGACTGAACAGATATATAGGTCAAATTCTAGGATTTGTTTTGCTCAGAAATTGCACAATTTCCTTCGTCCTTACAGGGACACTCCAGGCACCCAGACCACTTCTGCCCATTGGAGTGGTCTGGGTGCCAACTCCCACTACTCTTAACCCTGCAACTGTAATTATTGCAGTTTTTTTATAAACTGCAATAATTACATTGCAGGGTTAACTCCACCTCTAGTGGCTGTCTACTAGACACCCACTAGAGGGCACTTCCTGATTCATAGCTTGCTAGAGCGTTGCTGGACATCCTCACGCTGTGTGAGGACCTCCAGCGTCGCTCAATTCCCCATAGGAAAGCATTGAAAATCTTTTTCAATGCTTTCCTATGGGGAGACCTAATGCGCGAGCGCGGTAGGTTTCCTCAGCTGGCGGGCGGGATCAGTCTCGTCCACCGGCTGACGTGATTACTGGGAGGAGCGACGCTGACCCGAAACCACCGCCGAGGGACATCGGCAGGGTCTCAGGTAAGTGACCTGAAAGGGTTTTCACCCCTTCAGCTACCTGGGATGGGAGGTGGGAGGGAGAGGGTACCTGCAGTGCCAGGAAAACGGATTGTCTTCCTGGAACTGGAGTTTTCCTTTAAGGGGTTAAACAGTGAAGGGGAAAAAATAAAAAAAAATAAAAAGCCTGTTCAAAAACTACTAGCAGTATAATCACAATGAGTTGCAGTGGATATAATGCTTGGAGACTCTTTCAAAAACAGAAAGAAAACATTAGGTCTCATGCATTACAAGTTTTAAGTTTTAGACAATACTTCACAATCACAAGAACCTTAATTATCCAAATACTTACCTCTGTCGACATTTGCACGTAGTGAGGTTAGCATGCCCTCAGACACTAACGTCTTGTAAAGAGCACCTTTGCATGCCCTTTCTGACTTCCTGGAACCACATGCCTCTGTCTTTTTATTATTGTCAAAGTCCTCAGATTTTAGCATTTCTGGCAAACAGATCTGAAGAACCTCCTCTTTAGGCGACAGCTCTTCTTTTATGCATTCAGGCACCTCAACAGATGTTTCCTCAGCAGGCACAATATTTGCTGGTTCTGGTGCCATCAGCTCTTCAGTGGTTTCCAAGGTTTTATCAACTTTGTCCTTTAACAGTTTCTTTTCTTTTGATTTTATCTTCTTCTTTATAGGCTTTAGGTCTGATGATGTGTGATTTGGACTAGAAGTGGAACAGGCTTTCTTGTTTGGTGAAACTGAAGGTGTTTCAATGCTCCAGTCTCCCTTTGCAACGGCCTCAATTGTATACATGACACTTTCAATATCTGACTCAGATGACTGCCTTTTTTTACAGGTCTTTTTTGGTGATCCTTTCTCTACAACATCGTGTTCAGATTTATTCTTTTTCTTCTTCTTTCTAACTTTTTCTCGTTTTAGAAAATTGAAAAATTCTGCATCAGAAGGATCTGGGGAATATGAGACTTCTTTTTTTATTTTAACGTGATCAAACTCAACCTTTTCAGAATCTTGAGCATAATCTTTTATGCTGCTAGAAATTACATTTTTGTCTGTCTCTTCCACATTTGTCTCTTGCAAGCATACAGGTTTCTGCATCGTTACCAAATGATCATTGATTACATCCTCTGAAATTTCTATTTTCACAGCCTCGGATGCTACGCACATCTAAAGAAATGTAAAAAAAATAAAAAATGTTAAGGCAAAATGAAAAAGGTTCTGATTATATTAGTATATGTCAAAAATAGTGCTAAATGATAAATCTACACTGTAAAACACATGGCATGCTTGTATACTGTCCTGAATCCTCTGGAAAAATCACAATATTTGGCCCTGTATTATTTCTCTTCAGAAGACACCAAAGAGAAGTTCATATAAAACATACTGAGAGTTTGTTATTAAATAGTTACACTAAGCATTACAATCACTTCCAAAGTTGTTATGGTGCAAGACGTCTGTCTATGCATTCAGTGGCGGAACTAATGTAAAGAGGTCCCTAGTTCAAGAAATATTTTTCGGTCCTCCCTCTAGCACAAGTTTGACAAAATGTTAAAATCTCATCTGTTGTACAACACACACAATGCTATTGCATCATTTTTAGTTTTTATAAGAGATTGACTGTGTTTGTATATGGTCTCCAGCGTTTCTATCACCTTACTGATGGTGACGTTATACATATTTGATAGTCACTAAGAATCTTTTTACTCCTTCTCCCATCTTGCTAAACAGTATCTTTATCTACTATACTACTATTCATTGATGGCGACCCGACATCAATATAACCTTATACATAATATATACAAAAGTGATACATTATTAGATCGCTAAATTGAATTTTTAATCAAGTTCCTCTAAGATGTTTTTCAAAGAAAAGTCATGCTTTCTTATTTTATATGTCATAGTTGTTTCTAATCTATTCCATAGATACAAATTCACTTATCAATTCATGGCTTTTTCACTTTTGGATATATTCTCTCTTTCTCTCTCTCTCTATATATATATACATACAGTCATCCGGAACTATTTTACAATGTGCGTGTTACTGACAGATCCCATATATGGTTGTACTGTTTTGGGAGGTATTAGGCTGTAACTCATTTCCGGTACACACATAGTTTCCGGTTTTCAGCTTTCATGGTGGCGGGTTACACACAGATGGAGTAATTCAATCAATTAAGTAAATTACTTTTTTGTATTATATATATGATGTTTTGATTGTTGCAATTTGTCTTGAGAAAGAACCACGAGTAGGTCCAAAACGTTGACGCTGCACAATTAAATTAAATTTTCGATTTTTCTCTAGCAAAAGTCCTATGAGTGCCCACTTCTTTCTAATATTTAAAGTGTATTTACGTTCCACTGTGGAGCAACGAGGCATTACTATTCAAAGAGCTTCTTCGTTCATAGAACTGGATAAAAGTGACTGCCGTCACACTTCTATTTTGTGTGTGTATATATATATATTTTCCACAGAAATTCCTTGCACACAAGTTGAAAATCCCCTGTATGGCCGAGTGCCAACACCAAGGCTTCAATAGATAAAATGGTAAATGGTGAGGCTGCACTCTTGGCCTTTTATAAAATTCAATCTTTGTTTATGCAATAAAAATTCAACATTTCAGTCCTCTCAGGGACTTTCTTTAGGATAAATTGTGGTGTTTCTATAAGAAACACTGCTATTCCTGAGATATTTTAATAATATTTAAGGTTTGTAAATCAGACAGGCCAAAACAAAAGTCTGGCTAAATAATTTTATTCAAGTTGCAAGCGTAACACATGCACAACTTTGTTTGAAATTGTTCTCCTCTTAGGATAGAGTTTAACCAATGCTGTGTGTATGATCTGCTGAGACAGTTAACATCTGTTAACTCACAGCAGCCACATTATGACTGCTATCAGTTAACAGTTTTACTTATCCAACATGTGAATGTAGCGGATTTTGTATGTAATCTACATATCCCATATGTGACAAAACTACTTACGCTGAGTGACTACCCTCACCAGGTCAGCTTCCTAGCTGCTATCAGGGACCCTGGTGTTATGGACAGATGAATTAGAATAAAATGGCTATTTACTAATGTCTATTTATTCTGTGTACACTATGTTAAAACTGGCTGCTAGAGTAAATATTCCCTTTTCCCCCCTACAATGTGTTCAGTTGCTGTTTCCTCTGTAAATTCCTCACATCCTGCTAGCCTCCCCCCTTCCCATCAAGCAAACCTTGTGTAACCAAAATTCCTGTGTTAACAGCTTCCTTTACTAACTCCTCCCCCACTTCCTTTGTGCCAGTTAACAGCTATATGCCACGTGTAACAAAATGGAGAATCACTGTTAAAGTAACTGAAAGAAACTACTCACTCCCCCTCCCATCGTGTATCCAGGATGGGGCTGGAATATAGGCGGGAGAAGTCTGTAATGACGACACTACATCCTGTAGGGGGGTTTAGACAAGACCCCTTAGACTGTTAACCAATTGTTGAATGTATACTGTATGTTTAAACTGTGACGTATTTTTGCTTTAAGAAGGAGCCCCCACTACGGGGAATAAAGCATTCCTTGGTTTTTCACTGATCAGAAACTTTGTCTCCGGTGTGAATTACTTCTAGGGAAAGCGTGCACGCATTAATTAATCAATTTGGAAGGAGTAGATAGACAAATTATCAAAGTTTTCTTTGATCCAAAACACTGGGATGCTTCAGCCACAGATGCAGAAGCGTGACTGGGGTCGCTGAGGACCTCTTTCACCCTGGACCAGGATACTCTCGTTCTAGGCAGGGATTGTCCCTTCTGCCTTTGCTTCTTCTGTTCCTCTCTCAGGCATGTATTAACACCCCTGCCTAAACACTGACCAGTTATTGCCTTTACAAAGGTACTTTTGGCTCTCAGACCTATCCCATTGTAACTTGTAAATCAGAGACAAAGCCCGAATAAGGGACCAAGCAGTCAGCCTACAGGCCCAAAGACACTATTACAAGGATCCCTGAATAAATCAACCAGGACACAGTTATTAATAGAACACACCAGCTTTATTTTTTACTCATGACTAGCCCATATGTGCATTAAACTTACTGTGACAAACTCAATGCACCAGTGCACCATGAAAACCTTTACATTATGTGCTTTTTTATTGCATTAAATATCAGGGAATAACATTTACCCTAGTTTCCCACATGAGAGCTTAGTTGCAAGAGATCCCTCACTTCCTGGTTTCATACTTTTCAAACTTTCACAAATATGGTGTGTGTGTATATATCTATATATCTATCTATCTATCTATATATATATATATATATATATACATACATACATACAGGTGGTCCTCATTTAGCGACCTACCTGTTTTACGACGGCTCGCACTTACGACCAGGCGTAAGTGTGAACAGTTGTGGGGATTCCCTACTCTGGTGCGCTTGTCTAGTTTAGAAGTTTCCCGAACAAAGACGAACGCACGAGAGCAGGTAATCCCTCTAATCTATGTTCGGGGAAATTTCCACGAGCATAGATTAGAGAGATTCCCTGCTCTGGTGCGTTTGTCTATGTTCGGGGAAGTTAAAGCAAGAGCACTGTTAAAGTGAGATTTCTGTGGGAAAAGCAAGTCTTATGGCTTGACTGGTATATGTATTGGTGTTTAGCAATGTATTAACTATCCACTTACTTCAGGTGGAAGGGGTTTTCATCCACACTTTTTTCCCCACCACAACTCTTTTGGTGTATATATATATATAAAAATATATATATAAAAATATATACATATATATACACACACATATATATATATATATATATATATATATAAAAAATATATATATATATACACAAATTAATATGACTGGGAAAAAAAAAACAGGATCAATAATGTATATGTCATGAAATAAATTTGTAATAAAATAAAAGATGATTTTCAGATTCATATCTAGGTCAGTGGGAGGACTTGTAGTGCTTTATCTGCTCCTACGATACAAGGTTACTAAGTAGGAAGTATTTGCTTTAGCAAGGTTCCATGGCAGATAAATTTACTAATGATTTTTACGAGTTCTGTAACAAAAACATCTGAAATCTATTGTTTATGCACTTGATGCCATTTTCAAATACTAGTAGAGGATTCTAGAAGCCCACATGTTTTGGAGTTATCAACAAAAATCTATCAGCTTGCCAATAGCATTCTTTATAAAAATCCAAATATTGAATTAAATGAGAATGTGAATGACTGTCTGTTTTCCCTAACACATTAAGTTGTGGCTGTGTATCATTTAAAAAATGTTGGAAAAACATGTGGGTCCTCTTTTGCCTATAGTTTTCTTTAAATCAAATCGATTTTATATTAGTCCAGTTATTACCTCTGCAAGTTGAAACAATGCTGATGTCCCACACTGTTTTGCTGATGCAGGTGAATCGGAATGTGATGTACTTGAGGAAATCTACACCCAAAATCAACAAATACAACAGTCATACGAATAAAAGAAATATTAAGATGCAATAAAATGTTTCTAAATGGCTATTACTGAACAAAACTTCTAAGTACAGATTGACCACTATGTACGGTTTTTAAATACATTATATTGGATTCTCTTAGAAAAGTAAAAGATTACTTTTCTAAGCAAGTTACCCATAGACAACAGTGAAGGAATTGGTATTCGGTAACCTAAGTAAACCCTTACTATGCTAAGATAATTCAGCCTATATACTTTCAGATACATTTTAATCGAACTAGATTTTCGATTCTACAATTTATTTTAATCAAATGGATAAGCCAGTTAAACAGATGACACTTACATATGCAAAACATTGTCTGTGATATAACTGACAATTAAAGGAAAAATAAAGAAAGAAAATTACCCCCCTACCATGTGCATGCAGTACTTGAACAAAATTGATATTTGGTTAATGAAACTCTGAGGGAGCTGTGATAGAGTTGTGGCAATCTTTACAAATGGCTGCATGGGGTACCCTTTATGTCTTCAACTTTGCGATTTTGCTGAGTTGAGTTGGTACTTAGAGCAACCCTTTAAAGACTAACAGCGTTATTCACTAAAGTCCAAATGGCCCCATACCGAACGAGGAAAAAACATCCGCTGCATACAGTGTTATTTGGATAATTAAAACCCACAGCAATTTCAGGGTTAATTATGTGGAGACTGGCCAGTGTTTGCTAGCCCAATGCTACATTAGAGTAAAATAAATAACAAAAACCCTGGGTCAATTAGACCCCCCCCCCATATTACTATAAGAAAGGTTTTAAACCCCCAACTGATATGTGGCAGCTGGGAGCATATCTATTACATGTTTAAAATTAGCAGTTGAAAAGCACGTAAAATAAGAGGAAGGACACAATCTCCCCTATGGATCACTGTCCACCATCCTTTCCGTAGTGGTGGACATGGTAATTAGTCCCCACCCACGGCTATTATTATGTAACTGATGTGGGTTGGAGTGGGGGATGAACTACTGTGCACACCCATTAGCGGGAGGTGAGAAATCCAAATAATAAAAGATAGTGGGAGGGAGCTCTAAAAATAATATACAATGGGGTGGAGAAAGTGGACATGCCATTGCTCACCTTCCAAAAATTGACATTGTCTACCAATCCCTTAGGCACTTCTATTCAAATAAATGAACACCCTACCTATCCACTCAACCTAATAATAATAAGGGGAGGATATTAAAATTAATAAAAAGAAAAAAATTAAAAAAATGTATTACTGTGTAAAGTATTCTTTCTTATCTTATATTTAGTCCCAAAAAAGGACATATATAAAAATCTTGCCTTGCTAGGGTTCCATGCTGAATGAGGCTTTAAAGTGGGAGAAGCCTTTATATACACTTTCCCACACGTTTAATTCTTATTAGAGTGCCCTGAATTTAATGACACTTGGCCCCAATCCCCCCATTTTTTTTTTTTTTACATTTTTGAACTCTTATCCAACCGTAAGGGTGAGGAATAGGGTGGGACACTTGGCATATTACAATAGCCCCACCCCCTGACCATAGGTGGGGCAAGTGGTAACATAAGGTATGTCCACCCTCCCCTTCCATTTTTTAAACTGATTAGCACCCACCCTATGAGTGTGGACAGGCGAGTGGACAGTGATCTCATTGGCAGGGGCACATGGAAGACTATGATCCTCTCCTTGCTTTACAGGCCCTAGTCACTGGATTTAAGTATTTAATAGATATACTCACACCTATATATTTTGTAGAGGGTTTGGATGTGAATGCCCTGATATTAATCAGAACATTAAATGCATTCGAGCAATTGCTGCCGATTCACTTGGGCCAACAAAATTTCAACCATATCTGGCTTTAGTAAAAATGAGAATTGCCATTGCGGAATTCAGTGATTTTCACTAGATTTCTGCCCATCCAGACATATCCAGTGTTTAGTGAATAACTCTGAATGTGCACAAATTTAGTTAAGACTAGACACATTTCTCAGGTCAGAGACTGTAAAACACAATCAGCTCATATAGTTATTGATCTGTACCACACAGCAAACCTTCATCAAGGCTACTGCTGTCCTTAATACTAATAACTATCATATTAGACTGTAATCTACTGTGAAATGTTTTTTAATGAAACACATATATTATAGATAATAAATGTAAACGTGTTATTGTTGTTTTCATTTCTAAATACGTGTTTAGAGCTCTCTCATTTTGTGGAGAGTGTAAACAGATGCCTGGAGGAGTGAGGTGGTAGGAGGCACAATAGTGTAATTAAAATTGTGTTATTAATGAGATGCTGGTGGTTAATGGAAACTCAAAGCCAATCCGTATCTTTTCAGTTTTTTACATATAGATACATAGTGCATTGAAAAATACTTACTTTTGAATGCTACCACATTTTTCCCTTCTCCTCTACTTTATAGCATAACAAGAGGGTTTACCCTTTGCTAGTTAAAATGATTTCACTAGATTCTGTCTGCTAATAACAATATTTTCATACACAAAAAAAAGATACAGCCAACCTAAACAAAAAAGCTACATAGCATAACGCTGTTGTAGTATTGCACTCAAAAATCACTAGGTAGATCAATCATATAAGTATGTCTCAGAAAAAAAACTTTTTTGTTTGTTTTCAGACAGCAACGATCCTGATATCACACTAGAAATAAAGTGGAAAAAATATGGTGCAGAACATTCTCTATTCCAAATAAAAATATATTTTATTGCAAGCTAGGCGGACTGGGAACAAAAATCGGTCCAGGCATGTTTTAATTACAGTGACCCTGTGAGGCGGGTGTTTTGTCATTACCAATGACAAGCATGCCCCCTCTCAAAGTGAGCATGTCGGTTCAATGGTCTTCCAGAGTAGCCCATGCGCCCTGCTGAAGAGCTCTAGTATGAGAAAAGGGCACTGTATTTGTTCTGAGCAGCACAAGCAAATTTAATGACATGCTTGCAGGTAATGTATAGTAAAGAATTCATAGCATATTGTGAATAACTTCACCTAATTGGATGAATAAATGATATGGCCATGCCATACCTCAGAGAATTCCAATAAATCAAATTCTTTACTAAGTTACGCACAATAAAATATCTTTTTATATGGAAGAGAGAACATTCTGCACAATCATTTTTGCACTTTATTTCTAGAGTGACACCAGGATCCATGCTGTCTGAAAAATCTGTTAGGAAGATCTAAACAATTTATATTGTGTTGTTTTTTTTATTCCTCTATAGGTTGGCTGTATCTCTTTATTTGTGTATCACATTTTGTGTATCAGGAGTGGTATTTTCTGTGAGAGGCCAATATTTAACTGTGCTCAGTATGCAATTCCCCTCGCTGCTTTGGTGTCAGTGGTTGTGGTATGTGTGTATATATTTAATGACAACATTTTACCAAATAACAATTGTTGCACCTTATGTGACTATTGACATCTATTAACTTACTATATTATTTATGAACCTGTACAACATACATATGTTTTTATTGAATTTTTTTCATTTTACACGGTGATCATTGTGTATTTTGTAAATGCTCTTGTTACCCTTATGCTTATGGTATTTATTTGAGCACATCTATACATTGTTGGGTTACCTCTGCTAAATGGAAAAGTCCTGTTTTCCCACCACATTTTGACAGTTCGGGGCTGCTAATCTGTGAAGTATTTGATGAAATCTAGAAAGAAAATAAAGAAGAATAAATTGTTATATGACATTAAATGTGTTCAATATCGGGATAGGAGCAGTGTTATAAATAATTTTTTACAACTAAGCAAATCTCTCATGTAAAACAACATACTTCCCTTATACTGGCTTGATGAGATCTACAGTGGGTGAAAGTATGCCACTTGGGTTAGTAATTGTTACATTTCAGTTCTATAACAAACTGACATTTAGAATAAGCATTGCATTAATAGGAATAAATACAGCCAGCTCTAAATCCAAACTTAGATTTGGTCAAATATCATCACAGCTCACTTCAATTCCTAAACCGCACCAGAAGATTAGGTTTGATACACACCAAAGTAGTTCATTTCATATTGCTCAACTGGTCACCATTTCCTTTATTTGATTTTTAGGGTATATACTTAAATAAAAAGGAGTGTTGATCATTGGTTTGTATAAGATGAGGCGCAGCCATACACATTTATAAATCCCAGTTGCCTTGAGGAACCTTCTTGCTTATTTTTACACAAAACTAACATGGAAGAACACGGCAGGGTAGACCAATATGACTATAGGCAGCACATTATTTATTATAATTTAAAGAGTTTTCAGGGTGCACTCTAAGTACCAAAACAACTTTAGCTTAATTAAGTTGTTTTGGTGTACTTACAACCTTTAGAAATCTCTGGACTGCTAATGTAATGCTAAGAGAAATGGCAGAGTCCATTACCTCCTCCCACCCCTGTAGGAATAATATGACACGACACCTGAAACTTCCTGTACTGTTTGGAAGCAAGGAGGGAGCTTACATTTTCGGCAAATTCACAAGATTTATATCAGTGACTAGTTGCCTCTGGCAAGATACCTTTACAGGCAGGTAATGTACAAAGAATTTCCATAGCACTACGAGCATGAAATACTGATTTATGTTCACAGGAGCAGCTAGTACTATTCTGTAACTCCATCACACTCTAGTTTTCCTGTGATTTATGGATTACTATTTTGTGATTGCTTCTATGCCCCTTTAATATATGTCTGAAATTATTTCATTTTCAGATAATCTACAAATTTTGGAAAAGGGCTGATCCTGTCTTTAAAATGTATTTCTGGTGCTGGGATTTTTGCAATAATCTACATTGCCCTCTGTCTTTTTTAGTTTTTAAAGTTTCCTACCTCAGCAAACTGAAACAGTGCTGACTTCTCACATTGCTTAGCAGAAGGCTGGACATCCGATTGTGACGTGCTGGAAGAAATCTTAAAATAATATGTAATTATCAATAACTTGTTATTGACGATTAAACGATTTAAAAAAAAAAAAACTTATAAAATATATTGTACACATTTTAAGGCTTTCAAATGAGGAGGTACATTTTGGCTGTGTATCTATAGAAGTAACTGAAAACAATTTTAGCAGTCTACAATTCAAGGTCTGTTCTGAGTTTCAGACATGCTATAGATAAAGATCAATATCTGAATATTGGTATTCTTTTTTTACTGTAGACCTTGTTGACCCATCTCCAAACATAGCTCTTATGGTTGTGACCATAAAGTTCTATTTTGGTCTCGTCACTACAAATTACAGTGTGCCAAAAGCTGTGAGGCCTTGTCGGACATATTGTAACTGGGCTTTTTTTGTGGCATTGGTGCAGTAAAGGCTTCTTTCTGGCAACTCAAATCACACAGCTCATTTTAGTTCAACTATTGTCGTATTCTGCTCCTTGGAACAATCACACCGACTTTTTCCAGAGCAGCCTGTATTTCTCCTGAGGTTACCTGCAAGTTTTTCTTTGTATCACAAACAATTCTTCAGGCAGTTGTGGCCTGAAGAATTGTTTGTGATACAATTGTTTGTGGTCTACCTGACCTTGGCTTCGTATGAAGAGATCCCAGCATTTTCAACTTCTTAATAAGTGATTGAACAATACTGACTGGCACTTGCAAGGCTTTGGATATCTTTTTATATCCTTTTCCAGCTTTATAAAAATCCATTCCCTTGTTACGCAGGTCTTTTGACAGTCTTTTCTGCTCCCCATGGCTCAGTATCTAGCCTTCTCAGTGCATCCACTTGAGAGCTAAGAAACTAATTTACTATTTATACACAGACACTGATAGCAATTTAAAAAGCCACATGTGTGGGAAATTAACATTAACAAGGTGTGTCACCTTGTCTGTCTGTAACAAGGCCAAACATTCAAGGGTATGTAAACTTTTCAGGGCCGTTTGGGTGATTTCCATTATCATTATGATTTAAAAAGAAGCCAAAACAACTATAAAATAGTGATAAAATATGGCTTCATATGATCACTATCCTTCAATAAAAGACATTTTCTGATCATATCATGATCAGTCCTATTTAAAAAAATAAAATAAAAAAAAATTCTAATATTTCACAACTTCTGCTAGGGTATGCAAACGTTTGAGCACAACTTTATGCTGATTCAAACTTTTAAATAATAAAATAAAATAAAAATTAATATAGACTAGGCACATTTACATCAATTAGTAGACACATTCCATGAAAATATAAAATATGCATACCTCAGCAAACTGAAATAATTCAGACTTCCTGATCAACTCTGAAGAATTTGAATCCTTTGACAAACTTGCACTGGAAGACACCTTGAATAAAAAGAAACTGTATGATTCACAGAGAGCTCACTGGATTTGTTATTTTTCAATATATATTTTCTGTATTGGCTTTACATATACACTTGAATGAACACTATAGGGTCAGGAACACAAATGTGTATTCCTGAACCTGTAATGTTAAAAACACTATTTAGTCCCCCTAGCTCCCGCTTGCCCCCCTTAAATATAGTAAAAATGCACCTTATTTCCAGTGCCCTCCATCTGCCTACTTGGCTGACATCAGAATTGTTGATCTCAGCCAATCACAATGTTTTGCCATTGGAAAGCATTAGATTGGTGGATATAGTCGATTCTGATGATCTCAGCCAAGGAGGAAGGCAAGGGGGTCTTCCTGGCCAATCAGAATCTCCTCACAGAGATGCAATGCGTTCAGCGTTTTTATGCACAGCGTAACATCAGTGCTGCACCAGGAAGCACCTCTAGTGGATGTCTGAGGGGTGGAGCCCAGCTTATATTCTGATTTAAATTTGTACCAGAATTTTAAGATTTGATTACGGAGGTTGTTTTTGCCGCCAAGTCTACCTCTAGTCCTGTCTATCCCTATTTTAATAGGATCTATCTATAACAAAAGAGACAGGTCTGATAACTCCAACATGTATTTTTCAATATCTTGCCAACACTCATTAGATCCTATATTTATACATTTAGAAATATGGAATTGCTAAACCTCCATTATCTGTGCTTTTCTCTAGTAGCTTTCGGTTAATCCTTGGCTTCTTTCCTCTCAATTTAACTTCCATAAAGCTTTTCTGAGTTTTTATTAATTGTGATTCTAATTCTTTAAGTAAAAAATAGATCGAGTTTTGGGGATCTCTTAAGGTCAATCTGCATCATCTGCATACAGACTTAATTTTGCCTACTTGTTACCAAATTGTATTTCTTTAATGTTGTTCATTCTAATAAATTGGGATAGAGGCTCCAGGGTGAGAATGTGCAAGATGGGAGAGAGGGGGAATACCTACCTAGTCACATTTCAAACATTAAACCAAGGAGAAACAATACCCAATCCGATTATCCTTGCTTAAGGGTTAGTATAAAGAGCCAGTATTGCCTGTAATATCCATCTTTTAAAACCCATCCTAATTAATGTTTAAACCATAAAGTTCCAACTAACCTGATCGAAAGCTTGATTTGTGTCTAATGATAATAATATAGTCTGGTCAGTTCTTCTGTTAGAGAGATTAATCAGATCTACTACTCTACGTATATTATCTGAGGGTTGTCTTCCAGTGACAAACCCTACGTGTTCAGTATGGATCCAAGAGGGAACTATGGATTTCAATCTATCGGCTATAATGGTTGAATAGATATTTATAACCCCATTTATAAATGAGATAGGACGGTAGTTTTCAATCTGAGATGGATCTTTATTGTTTTTTAGTATTGGTATTATATTTCCCTGAAGTAATTCTGAGGTTATTTTGCCTCTCTCTTAGAGAAGCTGTTAAATTATTTTGCTAGATGTTTGCATATATCAGCTTTCATTGTCTTATAAAATATTCCAGAGGATCAATCTGGTCCAGGGGCTTTTTTTTTTTTTATCTATTCCTAATCCTATTTCTTCTGTTATCTGGTAGTTTAGATCCATGATTTGATCTTCTGTTAGACTTGGTTGTCCACATTTTTCTAGATATTCTTGGATCTCTTGATTTGCTTTAGTGGTTTTTAAGGGGGAATATATGGTTCCCTCTTTATTTGATATTTTATATATTCTATGGCCAGCCGTCTGTTTTTTTTAGCTTAGCTGTCAAAATGTTGCCTGCTCTATTTCCTTTGGAGTAGTAGATCTGATTGAGCATCTTTAGGTTGGCCTTTACATCAGAATAATTTTTCTTATTTATCTCATTCTCTTTTGAGAGGACTATGTATAGGTCTGTGAGTGTTAAACCCTTTTTCTGTTTATTTCTGGCTCCCATTTTTATCATATGACCTCTTATAACACATGTGTTTGTGGACTATATTTTTTTAGAAAGAGATCTCTGCAGTTAAATTTTCCTTAAAAAAATAACCTAGTTATTTCTTTTAGATATTTTCAATTTTCTTCAACACTTTTAGTTACGCAGCACTCATTACATTGTGTCCAAGCCCTGAATCATTCTAAAAGATTCCACTAAGGAATCTTCAAACTTATCACCCAAATGCTATACATTCTGTAATTGCATCTTTAAAGTGCATACTACATTGCTTAAAGGGAAACTCCAGTGCCAGGAAAACAATCTGTTTTCTTGGCACTGGAGGTTCCCTCTCTCTCCAACCCCCCAATCCCCGGTTACCTGAGGCAGCAACGATGTCCCACGTCGCTGCTTCTCCCTCCGCGCCGCTCCTCCTTCTGACTGCGTAGGCCGGTGGGCGAGACAGATCCCGCCCACAGGCCAGGGAGACCTAATGCGCATGCGCATGTCTTAATTTCTCACTTTTTTAATTTCACACTTTTTTTTTTTGTTTTTATTCATATTAAATTATGTTTCATATATACATATCTGATATGAAATGAAAGCTCTATTTCTCCTAAACAATATGATATATAATAAGTGTGTGTACACTTAATATGATACAGTTGAATTATGGTTGAACAGACCCATAGCTCACATTTTACAATGTGTGTTGGTATAAAAAGCCTTAAGGGATTAAAGGAACACTATAGCATTAGGAATACAAACATGTATTCACTACACTAGAGTGTAAGCCTACCTATTTAGCTGTTAAGGCCCACAAGGAAGTAAGAAAACAAAGGATTTTGCTTACCATTAATCCCTCGCCTCCACTGGCTGACCTCATCGATACTGATGATCTCAGCCAATCCAATGCTTCCCCATATGCTCCAATCAACATTTCCACATAGAGATGCATTGAATTTAGCATCTAGATGTAGAGAGTGGAGACACTGAATGTTGGTCCTGCAGTTTTTGCGGGATCTCATCTAGGAATTCCCTGTGGTGACTGTCCCGAGTGACAGCCATAAAAGGAGGTGGTGTTAGCAAGCAATGTAAACACAATATTTTCTGTTTATACTGCTGAGCCTGCAGGGATTATCTCTTTGCATTAGAACTGTAGTGTTTCTGGTGCTTAGAGCCTCTTTAACATGGTAAATAAAGCTACCTATATATACTGTAGCATATTACATACTGAAAATAAAGGCAAATTGCACTCTCAAGTCTACTCAAGGGGGCTGGATTAACTAATAATACTAAGACTTCAGATAAGCTGAGAAATAGATCTGGATCTTCTTAATTATGAGTACTATTCAAAATTGATAAGCAGAGTACTCTATTTTGGGATTTACTCTTGTATAGTCACGCACCTGATGAGTGTTTTACCAGCCTGGTTAATGGCTCTTATTTCTTGTCTCTGGTTATCATGGTTATTGTATCTGGAGTCTCCTATTGTATCTGGAGTCCCCTGGTTTCATTGAATAGTTTGTAATGTTTTAATGCTGAACGAAAGCTGGGAACAGCCCATCCATTCTGTGTTGCCTGGGCTAATGGGGAAGCATTATCCCAAGAAGCAATGGGCTGCTGTAACTGGCAGAGAGTGTCAGCGGCGGAATGCTTTCAGACAATCATCATGTCCATTGCTGGGCATACCACAGTAGGGACATAATTACTGGTAAACTGTTTAAAAATTGTGAAATACTGATTGCAGAGACAGTGCTAGGGGACTACAGGCTCTAGAACCATTTCAGTTAGATTAAAAAAATGGTTATAGTGCAAACCGTGTCCTTTTAAATTAAAGGATCACTATAGTGTCAGGAAAATAGACTTGTTTTCCTGACACTATATAACCCTTAGGTCCCCCCCACTCTCAGGGTCCCCCTCCCGCTGGGATGAAGGGGTTAAAACCCCTTCAGCCATTTACTTTTATCCAGCGTCGGGTGACCTCTCCTCCCCCGCTGTCATCAGCTCCTGAGTGGAACAGAATGTGCATGCGTGGCAAGAGCCGCGTGCGCATTCAAACAGTCCATAGGGAAGCATTTCTCAATGCTTTCCTATAGTCGTTAGGCATGCTGAATGTGATTTTCGCATCCAGCATCGCAGAAGCGCCTCTAGCGGCTGTCAGGAAGACAGCCACTAGAGGCTGGATTAACCCTGCAATGTAAACAATGATTAACCCTGCAATGTAAACATGTTTACATCTGAAGGGTTAAAACCTGGGGGACCTGACACCCAGACCACTTCCTTGAGCTGAAGTGGTCTGGGTGACTATAGTGTCCCTTTAAGTCCCTTCGGTCACTCCTCAGCTTGTTTTTATGCCACCACAAACACGCTCAGTGTTAAATGGAAATATACTATTAGCAAAAGTGCTTCACGGAACACTGATTACTTATTTGTCAAACTATTGCCCATATTACTCCAATTTTGAAACAGGGTAAAACTCCAGATGACGTGAGTAATTATCGTCCTATCTCTCTGGTTAATGTTGATATGAAACTTTACGCCGCAATCTTAGCGGAACGTCTGAAAATAGTTATGCCATCACTCATACACAGGGACCAGATAGGTTTTATACAGGGAAGACATTCCTCTAATAACACCCGCAGGGTTCTAGATATTATAGAATGGGCTCAAGCCGAGGGAACCCCCCTTCTGACCCTGTCGGTGGATGCAGAAAAGGCCTTCGACAGGGTCGGATGGGGGTATTTGAATAAAACTTTGATACAATTCGGTTTTGACGGATGGTTTCTGAGTGCGGTGGGAGCTATATATTCAAACCCTTCTGCTCGAATAGTAGCCCGCGATTTATGTTCTGATTGGTTTAATATTAAAAATGGGACGAGACAGGGGTGTCCTCTTTCACCTTTATTATATATCTTGTCAATTGAACCACTAGCAAATAATATTAGACAAAATCCTGGGATTAAAGGTATAGGAACTCAATCCGATGAATGGAAGATATGTCTATATGCTGACGATATTTTGATTTCCATTACGGACCCTCTGGTTTCTCTTCCGTACTTAATGCAAGAATTTAATAAATATAGTAGTGTTTCAAATTATAAATTGAACACGAATAAAACAATAGCTATGTCAATTAATATTCATAAAGATAATCTATTCTCCCTAAAGAGAGACTTTGATTTTAATTGGACAAAAAAAGAGTTTATATACTTGGGGGTAAAAACGGCAGAGATAAGCCGGACTATGGAAACCAATTTTTTGAAGTTGTTAAAAGAGACCAATATGTTATTGAGGGAATGGAGAGTGCATGAAATTTCCTGGTTGGGTAGGATTAATACCATTAAAGCTTATATAATACCTAAATGGGCATACTTATTTAGTATGCTTCCTCTCTCGATTTCGAGCTATTGGCTGAATATGTTGCAAACCAGTATTACAGCGTATGTCTGGAGAGGGAAGAGACCAAGGATTAGTACGTATCATTTATCAAGGAAGGCCTTTCAGGGGGGGTTGGGCTACCCCCTTGTTAATCAAATTTATCAGGCTAATATATTAGTTCATGCCAGCAAATTACAGCTAACCGACTCTATAGACCAAGCCTGGTATAAAATTGAAGCTGCTAGACTTGGTCTAGACAACCTCGAATTTCTCTTATGGAGAGAGGCAAGTCAGAACAGGCATTTGTGTGAGATGGGTTCTGACTGTCCTTTGTCCTTATTTCAGACATTAAAAGAATGGACGACCTTAAAGAGGAAGTTGAATATTAATAGAAAAATATATGAGAATCTGAGTTTGAAGTCGTTGGAAAGTTTCATGCTAGAGATAAACCTGACAAATTGGTATAAAAACTTTAATTATAAGATAAAAGATCTCTATTTGGACCATCAATTGAAAAGTTTTGAGATTTTGAAAAATTGGTTGGATTTACCCCCTAGAGAACTATTTAATTTCCTCCGTATTAAGAGCTATTTGAAAGATAATATATTGGTCCTAGAAGGCCGACTTGGAATAATGTTTAGGAAAAATTTTTCGGGGGATCCTGTTAAAAGGGTTTTCTCTATTGCAGTTGAATTAATAAAGATGATAGGGTCTTCTCTTATCCCTAAAGCTTTAACTAAATGGGAAACCGATCTAACAATTTCTATTCCATTTGATAGTTGGTGTAAATCTTTTGTAAGGACTAAAAAAATTATCCATTGTTTGAATATTTTAGAGACCTTTTTGAAGGTGCTTTTTAGATGGTATTTGGTCCCTATTAGACTTGCTAAAATTTCTATTACTATTTCTATTACTAACGTCAAACTGTTGGCGATGTTTTCATCCTGATGGCTCAATGGTTCATATATGGTGGTCATGCCACCGAATTAAATCTCTCTGGATGATTGCATACAAATTTATAAACAGATTGGGAGGTTCTTATTTGGAATTTAAACCGGAAATCGCTCTACTCCATCTTTTTGGCTCAGAAATAAAGGATAATTTCGACATTGTGATTACACACTGCTTAATGGCTACTAAAATATTAATTGCTAGATTTTGGAAAAGTATTGACATCCCTACGAGAGATCAAGTTAAAGTACAACTTTTATTCCAAGTCGAGATGGAAAAGGGATTACTGTCCATGAGAGAATATTCTAATGCTAAGGCTCTGTCGTTTTATTCTAGTCTTGTCCAAAATGTTAAGAGGCTTTAAGGTATATGATTTCGTGGGGCTTTGTGTATGATTTCCTTACGGTTGGTACGTTGTCTCCATTGGGGGTTCCTCTATCAGTCTCCTTGGCCTTGAATTGCGTTTATCTGCAACACATATGACCAGTTATGTCTGTGTTTCTGTCTATGTTTAAATATATTTTTAAGGGAATGTATAAGTCGTGTGTGGACCATGACACACAGGCGACGGGATGTTAATGTTTTCAGATTGTTTTTAGACTGTGCCCCAGACGGCTTATTGATGAAATTTGAAATTGAACTTTGTATTTATGTTTGTTTTATGTGGATCGGAATCCCTATTTCTTCTTTCTGTAAGGTTCCCTCCCTTGTGTGTTGTCTTTGTGTATTAATATTCTTGTGAAAAATAAAAAGAAGTAAACAAAAAAACAAACAAAAAAAAAAAAACTATAACATAAAGTCAGAACAGTTATTCCCATAATTCAATTAATATATCATATTGAAATTAACCTCTGTCATTGAGCTTTCTACATGTGTGTCCACGGCATGATCCTCATGAGCAGTCAACGCATGTTCACCCGCTAGAAGCAGCATACTGAGACCTCCCATCTGTGTTGGATCTTGAGAATAAACAATAAAAACAAATTATAAATTGAGATATACATGTTAAATAGAATTGGCATAGCTTGGTGAAGATATGAGGAGGGAGAGAGAATAGGACACATGGAGGGGCTGTGTGGCAGAGGGAATGAGGCACATGGGGGGGCCAGGGCTTGGGAATGAGACACAGAGGAGGGGGAGGCCCCAGGGCAATTTTCGCACCGGGACCCAGTGGATTCTAGTTACGCCTCTGAGCAGGGGTTAAAACAAGCGGAGTGATTTGAGGATGGATGTATGAGATTTATACAGATGAGGTTGCTGGAAACTTGTGTGCAAATTGTATTTAGTTGCTTAAAGTGAATGCTGATAACAGCTAATAGGGTAGTAAAATGTAAAGTGTCTGTGCATACTACACTGCTGTATTTGAACATTAAAGTACTTCAAAAACATAATAAAGTGCCAAATAAGAAAAAAGTGCCATGTGAAATAAATAATGACTTCAAAACATCATAGTGTTAGAAGTATGCCATACAGAAGCGTAACTAGAAACTATGGGGCACAAATAGACCCATACGTCTACCTCCCACACGTCCCCACCTCCCAAATATGCAGACAAACAGATACACATGCAGACACACATACATGTAGACACACCCATACAAACAGACACACATACACAAACACACACATACAAACAGACAGGCACACATACATACATTCAGACACACACACATACACACAAACACACATGCATACAAACAGACAGGCACACATACATACACACACACACACACACACACACACAGACACATACATACATACAGACAGACACACCAATAACAAACATACTTCCCTATTCACACATACAATCACTTCAAAATAACCATCAGGATTGAGCAGGCTTGCGTTTCAAAGAAGAACAAAATGATCAAGAAACAAAAAAAACAAAAAAACTAAACAAAGTTGTAGACAAATTATAATGCCATGAAAAAGGGAGTCTCTCGGTACATCATTTCAGTATCCATTACAGAATAAAATATTTCATACTGGTTATTTTCAGTTAAGCACCTTAACCCCTTAAGGACACATCTTTAGAAGCTTGTCTTGCATTTAAGGACACAAGTAATTTTTGCCGTTTGTGTTCACTTGCAATTTGCATTTTTCTCATTTATTGTACCAACACATATTATACACTGGTTTTTAAAGGACAAAAATGGCTTTCATTTGATTTGACATGTATTTTCAGTGAAACAGCAGTGTTTACATTGCTGCTTATTAACACCTTCAGGGAAAGCATTGGCTTAGCTGATATCATAAAGTTTGATCATCAGCCATAAAGGTGGGACCAGCTGAGGCAAAACTGTCACAATGTGGAAAAAAAGGCGAGTAAAACTACCTTCCACATGCGATCAGGGGGCTAAACGTACGCACACACACTCTTGACAGGCTCACACACACACTGACATACTCCAGCTCTCGGCATCACAAAACAGCGCGAGGGAGCAGAGAGGAGCTGCAGAAAGAGTACTGATCCCTTGCGTGCCGGCTGCCTTCATGCTTCCCAGGGTGTGCGGCCGCTTCCTTGCTACCTTGTCCTGTTGCCTCCATGCTCCCCTGGTTGGCGGGTCAAATATTCACCGCGGCGGCCACCTTCAAAGCTCCCTCGGCGGACACCTTAACTAAAGAGCTCGGAAATCACAGGCGCCAGGGCAAAATTTCTAGACACCGTGGCGACCTGGTGTCTGGGATTTGTCGAGCCCTGTAGTAACACAAGGGAGTGCCTGTACATTAACCCCTTCCCGACCAAGGACGTATCAGGTACATCCGTCAAAAAACGGTCCTTAAGACGTACCTGATACCCCCCTCACTGCCGGTGGCCCCTGGAGAACACCAGGTAATTGGTCCCCTGAAGTGTTCACTTCCGTGTTGCTCCACGTGGAGTCCAGCAGTGAGGCAGAGCATCTGAAGCTATCAGGCTTTAATTAAAAATTAAATAAATAAATAAAAATGAAAAATAATTGAACCCCTACCCTCCCTCTCCTTCCCCATGTACTTAATGGAGGGGGAATGGCGGCGATCTGTCTATGGGGGGACTGTCTGGGGTTCCCGCTCTCCGATTTAGGGCCCCCAGGGGCCTGCTGGTGAAAGATTTTTAAAAAAGTTTAAAAAAAAACAAAAAGAAGTTAATAAATAAAAAAAAATAAAAAAAAAATATATATATATATGTATATATATACATACATACATATATTATATCAATATATAATATGTATACATACAGGTGAAAAATTTGAATATCGTGCAAAAGTTAATTTATTTCAGTAATGCAACGTAAAAGGGGAAACTAATATATGAGATAGACGCATTACATGCAAAGCAAGATAGTTCAAGCCGTGATTTGTCATAAGTGCGATGATTATGGCTTACAGTTCATGAAAACCCCAAATTCACAATCTCAGTAAATTAGAATATTACATGCAATCAATAAAACAAGGAGTGTACATAGAACAATATCATACCTCTGAAAAGTACAAGCATGCATATGGACTCTGTACTTGGTTTGGGCCCCTTTTGCAGCAATTACTGCCTCAATGCGGCGTGGCATGGAAGCTATTAGCCTGTGGCACTGTTGAGGTGTTCTGGAAGACCAGGATGCTTTAATAGCGGCCTTCAGCTCTTCTGCATTGTTCGGTCTCATGTCTCTCATCTTTCTCTTGGCAATGCCTCATAGATTCTCTATGGGGTTCAGGTCAGGCGAGTTTGCTGGCCAATCAAGCACAGTAATCCCACGGTCATTGAACCAGGCTTTGGTGCTTTTGGCAGTGTGGGCAGGTGCCAAGTCCTGCTGGAAAATGAAGTCAGCATCCCCATAAAGCCCGTCTGCGGAAGGAAGCATGAAGTGCTCCAAAATCTCCTGGTAGACGGCTGCGTCGACCCTGGACTTAATGAAGCACAATGGCTTCCCAAATCAACACAGACTGTGGAAACTTCACACTGGACTTCAAGCATATTGCAGTGTGTGCCTCTCCATTCTTCCTTCAGACTCTGGGTCCTTGGTTTCCAAATGAGATGCAAGAGTTGCTCTCATCAGAAAAGAGGACTTTGGACAACTGAGCAACAGACCAGGTCTGTTTTTCTTTAGCTCAGGTAAGACGCTTCTGACGTTGTTTGTTGTTCAGAAGCGGCTTGACAAGAGGAATACGACATATGAAGCCCATGTCCAGGATCCGTCTGTGTGTGGTGGCTCTTGATGCACTGACTCCAGCCTCAGTCCACTCCTTGTGAAAGTCCCCAACACATTTGAATGGCCTTTTCCTGACAATCCTCTCCAGGCTGCGGTCATCCCTGCTGCTTGTGCACCTTTTTCTTCCACACTTTTCCCTTCCACATAACTTTCTATTAATGTGCTTTGTTACAGCACTTTGGGAACATCCAACTTCCTTCTCAATTACCTTTTGATGCTTTCCCTCCTTATGGAGGGTGTCAATGATGGTTTTCTGCACAACTGTCAGGTCAGCAGTCTTCCCCATGATTGTGATTCCTACTGAACCAGACTGAGAGACCATTTAAGTTTCCCACAGCTTACTTAGCTGATATGAGAAGGACACTGTGAGCCTAGAATATTGCACCTTTTCACAAACTGTGAGCCTAGAATATTGCACCTTTTCACAATATTCTAAATTTACTGAGATTCTGGATTTGGGGTTATTATGAGCTGTAAGCCATAATCATCGCACTTATGACAAATCACGGCTTGAACTATCTTGCTTTGCATGTAATGCCTATCTCATATATTAGTTTCCCCTTTTACGTTGCATTACTGAAATAAATGAACTTTTGCACGATATTCCAATTTTTCGAGTATCACTTGTATGTATATATATATATATATATATATATATATATGTAAATATATATATATATTATATGTAACGTCATATATACATACATTAATTAAAAAATAAACTTAGAATAAAATTACACACGTATATTTATATATATATAAAAAATATATATAATGAGTATATATATATATATATATATTGTAAAAAAAAGTAAAAAAACTGTAAAAAGAATTAAAAAAAAGACATATATATATATATATGTAATTTTATTCTAAATGTATTTTGATATTAATATATATATATATATATTAATATCAAAGTACACTTAGAATGAAATTATATATATATATCTAAAAATATATATTAAAAATATATATAAAAATGACCACGGCAAATAGGAGCCCTGGGCCAGCGATCCGCGGCAATCACAGTCGGGGGGACTGCCGTAGACCCCAGCAGCTCCCCTGCAGAAGCTCCGGCCACCCCGGCCCTCCAGGGCCATGTGATCACCATGATCACATTGCCGTAATAGGAGTATAGGAGCTGCCAGCAGGGGGACTGTCTGAGCTGTCAGTCCCCACAGGCTGCTAAAAAGTAATAAATAAATAAATATATATATATATATTATACATATATATGTATAATATATTATAAAATAATTAAAGTATTTTATATATATATATATATATATATATATATATATATATATATAATGTCATTATAAGTGTACTTTGATGTATATACATTTATATCTCAAAATACACTTATAATGAAATCATGGTGTTCTTTGGCAGTAACCCCTAAAGTTCTCCGTAAATGTATTCTTAAATTGCAATGTGTGTCAAAAAAATCACCAATTATTATAATTTTCTTTTAAATTTGGCACAGATTGGTGGTAAAATGATTGCATGAAAAGAGTCAAAATACCCAAGTTTAATACCTTGGGGTGTCTTTAAAAAAAAATAAAAAATAAAAAATATATATATATATATACAAGTGAAGGGTTATTCAGGGATTCCTGACAGATATCAGTGTAACAAAGTTCCGAAATGCGTCCTAACATGAATGGAGAAACCATTCTCATTCTGTTAGGACGCAATTCGGTAGTTTGCCTGCGTTCTGTCTAATTGACAGGACGTTCAGGAAAAGTGACAGAAGGCTTTGCGGGAACACTGAGGAAAGGTGAGAATTATGGGAAAATTGCTCTGACCACCGGAAATGAAGCACACTTTGCTCCTCCGCTGGTCAGAGATGGTCAGGCGTAGGAAACCTCCATAAGACAAATAGCCCCTACTTTGTCTTATGTTTTAAAGAAAACTAGAGCAGACAGGAAGAAATGAAGAACAGATCCTGACAGAGGGAGAGAAGAGGAATCGATTTCGGCAGTACCGCTTTAATATTGTTAATCAAAAACTATAACTTAATAAATCTATTAATGCATGCATCTCAAAAAGTATTTTTTTTTATTTTATTGATAGAAGAATTAGTTGTGTAGAGGAAAATTAAGATACAAAAAAAAACCTTAATTTATCATATAAACAGTAACAGCTAACGTTAATGACCTCAAGCTGTGATTGAATACCTGTTTCTTGAAAATCTCTGACAACCACTCTGTGGCATTAGCACATATTCTTCGTTTTTTTAATAGTGTAATTTGCATTAATTTTTATTTATTATTTAACAATCTATTTTAGTTCTATATATTAACATTATTACATCGCTTCACTAAAATTCTTGTCTGTATAATCCTTTCAATGCTGGGCAGCAGTTATCTCCAACCACTGACATATTATCATCACACTAATGGCTATTCTGTTGCGCAGGTCACCAAGAATGATTGTATATTATCTTTGTAGAAATTGAAGTCAGATCTACAATTGCAAACACCCATAATAATAATTTTATATAACATTTTTAATTGCCTTTTAGAATGTTTGTGAATTAATAATCTGTCTACATTCGTAATTTCATTTAAAATGGAAACAAGCTAAAATTATAACCATAAATAAACAATTATATTGCAATACTATTTGCTATCTCTGCTCTCAAATCATTTTCTAACACAAAGACATAAGTCTTTATTAGAGGTTAGTGCTAGAATAAATCAATGTTATGAATAAAATACATGAATATTGCACTCATTAAACTGGAGAACACCAGCAGGACACTTAAAAACACTCATTATAACGTCAATAACTGTTGTACATTTATTCCTTGAGTACCATAATGTGCAGTTGGCATAATAGTTGATTTTATCATAAGACAGAGAAGGCTTTACGTGGATTGTCAGTTTATAATGATATCCCAAACTCACCTGCTATGCCAAAATTAAGCTGGGGCATTTCCTCTCCTTTTGATATTTTCTTGGGGATTGGGAGTTCTTTAACAGCATCCGGTGGGAAGGTCCAGAGCTTTTTCCTGGTCGTAACAGTTGGTGACGGGGTCTTCACTGGTTTATTAGTTGCTGGACACCATTTATAGCCAGGATTTGCCTTCATAAATGCATCCTTGTACTAGGAAGTGAAACAAAAAGAACACAATGATTCACTGTCACAGAGTTCTAAGCAAAACTGAAGAAGCTTTTTGGGACCAATAAGCAATGCATTGGCATTAGCAAACATCAAAAAACATGAGAATGCAGGAATAAAAGTAAAAAAATATAGTAATATAGCATAAAAGGTAAAAAATATTAGGATAATATAGAATTATGTATACAAACATTCATCTACATTGAAAGAAGAATAAGAAAGATGGAAAGTGAAGAGGTTGCTGAGAAAACTAAGTTAATAAGAAGCAGATGATTTGCAACTTGCAAGTGTTTTTCTTATGCAGTCTCAGATCAGAAAACACATTACTACTGATGAACTGCTAAAAACTTACAAGTCATCTTAACTCTATAAGCACTGGCAATAATTAAGAAAAAAAAAACAGAGTATGTTTAATAATTTATTATTTAAGGCAAAATAAATTTTTTCCTTTTTCTGTAATTATCTATTAATTTTCCGAATGATAAGCATTATTCTCTTCCACAGATCATACAAAATTAACAGAAATGCTAAAACATGTTAATATAATAATCAGGTCATTGCAACAACGCTTCCTCATAAAGCATATAGACCTCATGAGAAGAGAGTAAAACCCCTGTCATCTTTCTTTGCTAGGAGAATTTAGCGCTAAGTAACATCTGTAAAATGGGATGAAAAGATATAACAAATAAACAAGGCACTCACTGTTCTTATAAACAGTGTAATTTATTCTTAACCCCTTAAGGACTGAGCCAAATGTATACGTGATCAAAACAAAATGTTAACAAAACCTTGAATTTGCGCTATATGTCTGTTCAACCGTAATTCACCTCTTTCATATTAAGTGCACCCACACTTATTATAAATCATTTTATTCAGGGCAAACAGGGCTTTCATTTAAAATCATATACAGGGAGTGCAGAATTATTAGGCAAATGAGTATTTTGACCACATCATCCTCTTTATGCATGTTGTCTTACTCCAAGCTGTATAGGCTCGAAAGCCTACTACCAATTAAGCATATTAGGTGATGTGCATCTCTGTAATGAGAAGGGGTGTGGTCTAATGACATCAACACCCTATATCAGGTGTGCATAATTATTAGGCAACTTCCTTTCCTTTGGCAAAATGGGTCAAAAGAAGGACTTGACAGGCTCAGAAAAGTCAAAAATAGTGAGATATCTTGCAGAGGGATGCAGCACTCTTAAAATTGCAAAGCTTCTGAAGCGTGATCATTGAACAATCAAGCGTTTCATTCAAAATAGTCAACAGGGTCGCAAGAAGCGTGTGGAAAAACCAAGGCGCAAAATAACTGCCCATGAACTGAGAAAAGTCAAGCGTGCAGCTGCCACGATGCCACTTGCCACCAGTTTGGCCATATTTCAGAGCTGCAACATCACTGGAGTGCCCAAAAGCACAAGGTGTGCAATACTCAGAGACATGGCCAAGGTAAGAAAGGCTGAAAGACGACCACCACTGAACAAGACACACAAGCTGAAACGTCAAGACTGGGCCAAGAAATATCTCAAGACTGATTTTTCTAAGGTTTTATGGACTGATGAAATGAGAGTGAGTCTTGATGGGCCAGATGGATGGGCCCGTGGCTGGATTGGTAAAGGGCAGAGAGCTCCAGTCCGACTCAGACGCCAGCAAGGTGGAGGTGGAGTACTGGTTTGGGCTGGTATCATCAAAGATGAGCTTGTGGGGCCTTTTCGGGTTGAGGATGGAGTCAAGCTCAACTCCCAGTCCTACTGCCAGTTCCTGGAAGACACCTTCTTCAAGCAGTGGTACAGGAAGAAGTCTGCATCCTTCAAGAAAAACATGATTTTCATGCAGGACAATGCTCCATCACACGCGTCCAAGTACTCCACAGCGTGGCTGGCAAGAAAGGGTATAAAAGAAGAAAATCTAATGACATGGCCTCCTTGTTCACCTGATCTGAACCCCATTGAGAACCTGTGGTCCATCATCAAATGTGAGATTTACAAGGAGGGAAAACAGTACACCTCTCTGAACAGTGTCTGGGAGGCTGTGGTTGCTGCTGCACGCAATGTTGATGGTGAACAGATCAAAACACTGACAGAATCCATGGATGGCAGGCTTTTGAGTGTCCTTGCAAAGAAAGGTGGCTATATTGGTCACTGATTTGTTTTTGTTTTGTTTTTGAATGTCAGAAATGTATATTTGTGAATGTTGAGATGTTATATTGGTTTCACTGGTAATAATAAATAATTGAAATGGGTATATATTTGTTTTTTGTTAAGTTGCCTAATAATTATGCACAGTAATAGTCACCTGCACACACAGATATCCCCCTAACATAGCTATAACTAAAAACAAACTAAAAACTACTTCCAAAAATATTCAGCTTTGATATTAATGAGTTTTTTGGGTTCATTGAGAACATGGTTGTTGTTCAATAATAAAATTAATCCTCAAAAATACAACTTGCCTAATAATTCTGCACTCCCTGTATTTAGGTATGAAATATTTTGGCCAGTGTTTGTGACTAAGTGGCTCCTAAAAAAGACCAGACATACCCCATTTGCAATCCCTTGGGTTGTCTACTATTGCAAATGGTATGCCATCATGGGGGTAATTTTCATTCCTGGTCTACCATACGGTCTCAAAGGCAACATAACCAATCTGGCGAATTTCAATGTGAAAAAACTGAAACGCAAGCCTTATATTTGACCCTGTAACTTTTGAAAGCACCATTAAACCTGCACATGAGGGGTACTGTTATACTCGGGAGACTTCGCTGAACACAAATATTAGTGTTTCAAAACAGTAAAACGTATCACAACAACTATATCATCCGTGTAAGTACCATTTGTGTGTGAAAAATGCAAAAAAAATTAACTTTCACTGATGATATCATCGTTGTAATACACATATATATATATATATATATATAATACAATCATTGTAATACAATTATATATATATAATTTTTTTAAATTATTTTTATTCATATATAGGTGTATATATAGTGATATATACATATATACTTATGTATATAGATCTATATATATATTATTTTGTTCTACGTGTATTTTGATATCAGTATATATATATATATATATATATATATATATCGATAGACCTAAAATTAGAAATCCTTATTTCAATGAATAAGCCTGTTAGACTTCATGAATGAATGAACTCCCAAAAGTTTGAGATTCCTAATGTCTTTAAGGCCAATAAAATGTTGTTAACAAGATGCTTCTATAATCATTATTTTGTAATGACGTTGATTCTGGTAAATCTTGAATTCTCTCTGTACAATCTGCATGCCCAGCATAGCTGCAATTTACAAGTCTCATATTTCAGCATCATAAAAAGTAATCAAATACTTATGGGAGCACAGGTTAGGTTACTGGTTTTACTGCTACTCTTTTTTTTCTCCTTTATTGGTCAGTGGATACAGCAGATATGATTGGGTAGACCTCATGTCCATCACTTAAAAGTAAGCAACTAATTTGTCTCCACCAAAAAACACAACAAAACAAAAAAGCAGCCTCTTGTCCATTCAAACCCTCTTCTTTCAGATGCCAAGAATGGTACCACAAATAAGGAACAGAAATGAGCATGTTTGGGCTAATGCCAGTTGGTTTCCCCTATGAGAATACCGACTAACCTCTTTTGCCATATCAGTATATTTCTGCTTTTCATTAGGGTCCAGGTAAGCCCACCAGTCTGCCAATATTTTTGTAGCACCCCGATTATCCAGACGTGGATGCTCTTGACGCACGAGAGACCGGTGTCGTTTGCAGAATAAAAGGAAGGCATTCATTGGCCTACGAGCTCTTTGCTCAGGTGAATCATTGTCTTCTGCTTCATCGACTTCATGTTCCAGACCATCAGTATCTACAAGCTGGACCTTCAAGAAAACAATTTTTTTTTAAAATGTAAATAAATGTTAGTTATTTCAGAAACAGTGTTAAAAGAAAGAGTGCAAACTTTTCAGAAATATTTGCATTTTTGCATTACTCTTTGATCTAAAATATCACCAGATGTTGATTTACCCAAAATGATGAATAATAAGCATTAACATGCAAAATGTTAATGTCTTACTGAACATCTTACCGTCATTGGGGGAAGACCTTTAAATTCAGTATCCAGTAGCATCCCCTTTGCAGGAATTACTATCATATGTTACTTAAAACTGTCTATCAAACCCACACAGCAGGCTTGGATGAATTTTTGCTTATTCCTCTTTCCATAATTACATCTTTTTAAGCTGTGTTTCATGAACTATGAATTATTTGGAAAGCTCATTAACCACCTTGTCGATAAAGAGGATTGGGAACCTAGCCTGTAAGAGATAAGATACTTCCAAGGTTCGTACCCGTCATCTCTGACCAATAGTCACACATATTTCACAGACACACATTCATCATCATACCTATATACATGTTTCAACTACACACATTCACATTCAATTAGCACCATTCAATTGTGCATGCACACATTTAAAATTTGACACTGAGAAACAAGTTAGAAACATTGTAACATTTGACCCTATAACTTCTTACAAACCTGTAATTATAGGGTATTTTTTGCAAATAGTAAGCAACGATTAGCATACTTTGTATTTTAAAGAAACACTATGGGTACTAGACCCACTACAGCTTAAAGGGACACTATAGTCACCCAGACCACTTCAGCTCAATGAAGTGGTCTGGGTGCAATGTCCCTCAGGTTTTAACCCTTCAGATGCAAACATAGCAGTTTCAGAGAAACTGCTATGTTTACATTTGGGGTTAAGCCAGCCTCTAGTGGCTGTCTTCTGGATCTGCCATGCGCATTTGGTCCACTGACGTCGGCAGAGGGAGCTGAGGAGAGGTCAGGAGAGGAGAGGTCACCAGCGCCGAGGGAGCCTGGCGCTGGATTAAGGTAAGCTGCTGAAGGGGTTTTTACCCCTTCAGCGCCACGGGATGGGGACCCTGAGGATGGGAGCACCCTCAGGGCACTATAGTGTCAGGAAAACCGCTTTGTTTTCCTGACACTATAGTGATCCTTTAAAGGGATACTAGTGGCACCACAACAACTTTAACTTTTGGTGTATAGATCATACCCCTGCAGTGTCACTGCTCAATTTTCTGCCATTTTTGAGTTAAATAAAAAAAATTCTGTTTATGCAGCCTTAGCCACACCTGCCTGGTACAAACACAGCCTGCATGGAATTTTTTTTTTCTCAATCAGATGTTAACTTGCTGTAGATGTTTTTATCTCCTGTTCTGTAAATAAAACTTTTATTACACATAGGAGACTCCTACAGGGTCTAGAAGACTATTATAAAAGCAGAAGATAAGGAATTCTAAATTAAACAGAATGTGCACTAGAAGGATGGTCCGCCAGAAATGGGTACATGTGACCTTAACAGCCCCACTTGTGTCAGACTACGCACAGAATAAAATTTGAATGTCTCAATTAAATTTTTAATCGATTATTTTCATAACTTTTAAGGACTTTTCCGATACCGCTGCAAGAGTTTATTAAATTTATCAGTTGTGCTACAGATAGCACAGGATCTATAAAACTTAGAACAGTCTCTATGGATAAAAAATAACATGAATTGTTATAATAAAAACAATTTAGAATAAAAACAATAATAATAATTTTATATTAAAGCCAAAATATTTTAATTAGTGTCAGAAATGGAAACATGCACAATTTTTTGTATTAAATCTTCGTTTTCAGAACAAAACAATAATTTTGCATGTTATAAGCCAGATCTTCAATTAAAAGAGGTTTATTTAAATCCAGTATTTGATGTTTCATAAATCCTTTTGCATTGCTTTTATTTTGAATTATTTGCAAAATCACATAGGTTATCAAGAGGGATGTTTGTTAATCTGCCCATATTAATCACATCCAAAACCGACTGAACCAATACACAGTGATATAAAGCTGATTCATTATGGTCTTGGTACACAACCAAATAGATCACATGATCTTAAACCACTAAATGCATCTTTTAAAATTATCTTGGAAAATGCAGCTCATGAACAGGCAGTACATAAAATAACACTATTGCATCTTATGCTTATATTGCGCAGCCCTGAGATGCAATATTAAGCTAGGCTATAAATTTGATTTTACATTTTGTAATGTCCTATTTAATAAATCTCCATTAGTGCATTGTGAGATTGTGTAGATGACCATTGGATTAGTTATAATATACATTTGGTTTACCCTTTCCAAAGGGAAATGTGGAGAATCGATGAGGAAAATACAAAAAAAAATGCTAAAATAGCACGGAAAAACTTTCTGTTTTAGTGAAATCAACTGTGAACCACACAATTCACGAAAAAATACCTATGCTTAGACTGTATCTGAATGACATTTTTTCCAAATCAGATATTTTTATTACATTTGGCTATTAGATTACAATCGATTAAAATTATTTTTTTTATTCTTTATTTCTTTATTCCGGTGATTCAGGTACATATTGGAGACAGAGTCATGTAAACACCAAGGCTTATACATATGCAAAAACGTAAACTTAAACATAAACAGAATTACAGGGTTAAAGCATATGCATCCAAAGAGATACATCGTTTTCATAATGACGGAACAGGTTAAGCCACTTATTCTGTGCTTTACAATGTTAGATACATTTGTGGAACAGGCTACATATTTTTAACACATTTGTTTATTACGTGGTGCGCAACCGGTTCCTTTGTCGCTTTTCCCTGCTGACCACATAGCACCATGGTTAGGGATGTGCACACAAGGCCAATTTTAGGCAAACCCTTGGGTTCTGAAATGTTCATGTGCTTCCTCACCCTGGAGAACACATTTTTTTTGGGGTAACCCAGCGCTGCTGGATTAGGGGACAGAAAGTAGAATAGTAGAAAAGCAAGAGGTAGAGAGAGAGTAGAAAATAGAAGTTGGCGGCTATGTGTACCCCTGTGGGGCATAGTGGTGATGAGCGCGAGTGAGCCCTCATCACCACTAATTTGTGGCTATCAGTATGTGAAATGCCAAGGTCCCTTGACGTTTATTCATGTATTCTGGGAACATAAACAGGAGAAAAAATTCTGCGAATGCCTATATTGGTTGTTTCAGAACGTCAGAGATTAGCCTAGTTATCTCTTCCCAGAAGGGTCTAATTATTGCGCAGTCCCACCAGATGTGTAACATGGTTCTCCTCTCCGAGTCACACCTCCAGCATTTGTCTGATGTGTTGGGGAACATGTGTTAAAATTAAATTTTTAATAAAAACAAAACACAAAACTCCCTTTGTTTCTACTTTTCAGAGTTTTTCTACATTTACATAATTTGTTGTTCTTTAATATCTATTACAATTGAAGAGATATTTTGTTTACTTTTCGTCGCAACATATTCCTAGTGGCTGTCTGGAAGTAAGCAACAATAAGTACTTAATCCTTAAAGGGACACTCGAGTCACACAGACCATTCCAGCTCATTGAGCTGTTCTGGGTGCTGTTTCTCAGATCCCTTACCCCTACATAGGAAATTATTGCAGTTTTTAATAAACTGCAATTATTACATTTTAGTGTAAACTCCACCCCCAGTGGCTATCTACCAGACAGCCACTAGAGGGACTTTCTGTTTATTAGGGGACTTTTGATCTAGCGTTATGCAAAACCTCATAGGAAATACTAATGCAAGTGCAGCCATTGCAATCCATGCGCATTAGGTCTCTCCTGCCGGCTGACATCAGCGATGGATTTAGGTAAGTGACAAAAATGTTTTTTAACAACGGAGGGAAGCACTATAGGAAGCGATACTGCTAGGAAAACAACTTTGTTTTCCTTGACGTATAGTTTCCCTTTAAGACCCTTGATTTTTAAAGGTGTTACTGTTCAGCGCCACAACATACAGCATAATACAGCAAGGCCTTCCATTGAGAAGCCCTGGATGGAATGCTTTTCTACAAGAACCACTGGATTGGCGAAGCGTGGTGATAATTGTGCTTGCACCATACACGCGCAATGAGAAGCATTGGATTGGACCACAGACCATCAAGCATGATGCTTTGATCTTTGGCACATCATGCTGATGTGCTAAATGTTTCTTGGCACTCTATACGTGTTTTTTTTTTTTTTTGCAGGTTCTTTTTATTTTATTTTTAAAATAGGATGCTAGGCAGCTTGTGATACGCAGAGTAGTGACAGTAAGGACAGTAATGCTGGATAGACCTTTAAACTAGTGTTCGAAAGTAAGCATTGAACCGCTGCTAAGCTCATATTTTTTGCATAAAAAATTAAAATGTAATGAAGACTAAAAAGAAATTTGTATTATTCAAATCTTGCTTTTTAGATGCATATTACAGAAATATTTATGTAGAAGTAGAAATAGATTGGTGTCACATACAGCAGATGTGACAAAAAAACAACCAGGGTATATTCACTAGATGAACACTGGTGAAAATGTCTAAATTGCTATCTCAATGGCAATTTTCATATTTTGCTAAAGCCTAACACAATTGGCCCAAGGGAAACTGCAGCAATCAGATTCATTCGGTGTCCGGAATAAAATCTAAACCCTATACAAAGTTTAAGCTTCGGAAGATTCACAAAGCATTGATATTAATATTTGGGATTTAATGCATCCGGCCAACAGCATGCAGAATCGTAAATAACTTTTTTGGAATTGAATTGATCATTTGAAGTAATATTTAGCAGATGGCAGCATAAATGGACAGCAGGTAAATAGTTAAAAACCCTCAGCGGCATGATGGTTAATTATGTGGTGTCTGGCCTGTGCTTGTCACCACATTAAAAAAAAGTTTGAATTAAAAGTAAAAAAAAAAAAACACTCAAACCTCCTGTCACTATCTCTCCTCCTTCTTCTAGCAGCTAGTGATTTCTCTCCCAACTCAGGGCCCCTCGCCTCCTCTGCACACACTAAGACAACCAGAAACCATACATACCCTGCCCTTTACCCTCATTTGCCAACAGCCAATGTGCACTCTGGAATGCCCGCTCCGTCTGCAGCAATCTGAAATGAACAGCCATGCACAACCTTTTCCTCTCAAACTCACTCACACTACTAGCACTCATGGAGACCTGGCTTTCCCCCTCTGATAGTGCTACTCCTGCCTCATTATGTTTTAGTGGGCTACAATTCTCCCACACTCCACAACTGTAAAGGAGGTGGTGTAGGTATCCTTCTCTCCCCTCAATGTACCTTTCAACCAATCTCCCCTGCCCTACCTCTATCTTTTAATTCCACTGAAGTTCACACTGTCTGCCTATTTAAACCAATTCCTTTAAGAATTGCTATCATCTACTGCCCCCCCGTCCCCTCCCCAGGCTATTTATTGAGCACCTTTCCTCCTGACTACCTCACTTCCTCTCCTCATGCACTCCTTCCCTTATACTTGGATATTTCAACATCCCAATCAACAACCCCAACTGCACTAATGCCTCTCGCCAGCTATCTGTAACCTCCTCCTTTGGCCTCATGCAGTGGTCTAATTCTGCAACCCATTCAGTGGGAAACACTCTTGAACTTGCCTTCACCAACCTCTGTACCGCCTCTAATCTCTCTAATATTTCCTTTCCTCTATCTGGCCATCTGCTTATTTTATCAGCAGACCCAGGACCCAACTGACACCACTCTCTGCACATCAATATCACAGAAAACTTCTATGTCTTGACCTAGAGAACTTCTCCACTAACCTCCAAACTCTCATTTTACCTATCTCAAACCTCGCTCATTTTACCTATCTCAAACTTGCCCTAGCTCTGCAATCTCCTTCTATAATTCCACCCTCTTCGCTCAACTAGACATCATGGCACCTGCTACACTTAAACGCAGCAAGCACCCTCAACTGCAACCTGGCACACCAAGCTGACTCTACACCTTCAAATATGCTCCAGAACTGCTGAACGCTGCTGGAGGAAGTCTCACTCTTCATCTGACTTTCTCCACTATACATTTATACTGCGCCCTTACAGCTTGGCTCTTTCATCTTCTTTGCCCTGTTGCTCCTTCTCCTCCTACTGACTTAACCGCCACAAACTTTGCAACTCACTTTACTGACAAGATCTCTACAATCAGGGAAGATATCTCTCATCTCTCTCCTTCCACTTACAATACTTCCCCCAACCTCACTATCTATGCTCAATCGCACCCGCTACAGCGGAAGAGGTTTCTGATCTGCTCCGGTCCTCCTGCCCCACCACCTGTTCCCTTGATCCTATTCCTTCGCATCATTTTGCCTCTCACTAAAATTCTCAATCTCTCCGTCTCCTCTGTCATATTTCCATTACCCTTCAAACATGCAACTGTAACCCAGATTAAAAAAAAGCCCAACCTTGACCCTAACTCCCCGTCCCAACTACCGCCCTATCTCGCTACTGCCTTTTGCGTCCAAGATCCTCGAAAGACTTGTGTATGTGAGATTGACAAACTTCCTTGAGTCCAATTCTCTGCTCGACCCACTTCAGCACTCTGTGGAAACAGCTCTGACCAAAGTATTAAACTATCTACTCGCTGCAAAATCTCATGGTCACTACTCTTTCCTAATTCTCCTTGACCTTTCCGCTGCTTTTGATACTGTTGATCATCAACAGCTTTTTCTCATCCTCCGTAATCTCGGTCTATGAGATATTGCTCTCTCCTGGTGCTCCTCCTACCTCACCCAGCGCTCTTTTAGCATTTCATTTTCTGGCTCTGCCTCTTTCTCACAACCTCTCTCTATTGGTGTCCTTGAAGGTTCAGTCCTTCGTTCCCTACTGTTCTCGATCTATACTGCCTCCCTTGGTAAATTCATCAGGTCATAGAAACATAGAATGTGACGGCAGATAAGAACCATTCGGCCCATCTAGTCTGCCCAATTTTCTAAATACTTTCATTAGTCCCTGGCCTTATCTTATAGTTAGGATAGCCTTATGCCTATCCCACGCATGCTTAAACTCCTTTACTGTGTTAACCTCTACCACTTCAGCTGGAAGGCTATTCCATGCATCCACTACCCTCTCAGTAAAGTAATACTTCCTGATATTATTTTTAAACCTTTGTCCCTCTAATTTAAGACTATGTCCTCTTGTTGTGGTAGTTTTTCTTCTTTTAAATATAGTCTCCTCCTTTACTGTGTTGATTCCCTTTATATATTTAAATGTTTCTATCATATCCCCCCTGTCTCGTCTTTCCTCCAAGCTATACATGTTAAGATCCTTTAACCTTTCCTGGTAAGTTTTATCCCGCAATCCATGAACCAGTTTAGTAGCCCTTCTCTGAACCCTCTCTAAGGTATCAATATCCTTCTGAAGATACGGTCTCCAGTACTGTGTACAATACTCCAAGTGAGGTCTCACCAGTGTTCTGTAAAATGGCATGAGCACTTCCCTCTTTCTACTGCTAATACCTCTCCCTATACAACCAAGCATTCTGCTAGCATTTCCTGCTGCTCTATTACATTGTCTGCCTACCTTTAAGTCATCAGAAATAATCACCTCTAAATCCCTTTCCTCAGATGTTGAGGTTAGGACTCTATCAAATATTCTGTACTCTGCCCTTGGGTTTTTACATCCAAGATGCATTATCTTGCACTTATCCACATTAAATGTCAGTTGCCACAATTCTGACCATTTTTGCTTCCAATATCACTTCTATGCAGATAACACGCAAATCTATCTGTAATCCCCTGATCTCTCCCCGTCCCTCTTTACTAGTGTCTCTGACTGCCTCTCTGCTATTTCTAACGGGGTGGCTGCCCATTTCCTTAAGTCAAGCTTCTGGTCTTTCCTTCCTCAAGTGTAGCTACTCCAGTTTCTGTCTCCGTCCACGTTAATGTTGCTACCATCAGATCCACCACGCAGGTTCGTTGCCTAGGTGTTCTCTTTGACTCTGACCTCTCCTTCACCCCTCATGTTCAGTCTATCTCCAATTCCTGCTGCTTCCATCTCAAAAACATTGTGCGCATCCGCCCCTACTTAACGCCAGATGCGACTGAGGTGCTGGTCCATGCCACTGTACTTTCTCGCCTTGACTACTGCAATCCGCTTCTCACTGGTCTTACGTGTTCCCAACTTACCCCATTGCAGTCTATAATGAATCCGGCGGCGAGGCTCATCATCCTGTCCAGCCACACCTCCCACAGCTCACCCCTCTGTCAGTCTCTGCATTGGCTTCCCGTAAGATATAGGGCTCAATATAAAATGATGGTTCTTGCTTTCAAATCTCTACATAATGCTACTCCTACTTATCTATCCTCCCTAATACACAAGTATGTCCTGTCTAGCCCCCAAGCTCTGCCGAAGACCTGTGTCTATCTTCTGTTTGTACTCCCACCTCTGACACAATTGGGTAATCCCTAAATCCTGGACTGGCAGGTGTGCCTTGAGGACTGGGTTGGGAAACACTGAATTAAAGCATATCAATTAAACTGTTAGTGGCTAAAAAAAAACAAACCCACTAAGTCTTCATTGAATACTATTCTACCAATCTACTTCCCTAATACTTCCCTTACCTTTTGTGTAGTGATGTCCCGAACGGTTCGCCACGGACGGCGAACATATGCGGGAGGGTCTGGGAGGGAGGGTCTGCTGCTGATTGGCTGGAATGTGTCTGCTGACTGTGAGGTACAGGGTCAAAGTTTACTCAATGATGACGAATAGGGGGCGGACCAAACAGCGCATATGTTCGCCGTCTGCGGCGAACCGTTCAGGACATTACTACTTTTGTGTCACTTTCCCCCATTGAGCAGGGCTCTCAACCCCTCTGTTTTTGTGTGTCAAACTTGTTTTGTTACAATTACATGTTTGTTAGCCCACCCATTGTAAAGCGCTACAGAATTTGTTGACGCTATATAAATATAATAATGATAATAATAAAAATGTTTAAAATAAATAATGGAACCAATGGATGAGGATATTTAATAAAAGGGGGGGGGGAGACTCATGATCAATATTCGAAATATGGCTATTTTTGAAATCTTTCTGACTTTTACTAAGCTAGACAGGGTAAGATCATACCACAATGTGACTTTGAATATGACGTGAACAACCAACAACATTTTCTTTAACCAAGATGATTTAATTTCATCCTACAATTTCAACTAAATATATTTGCAGAATCCACATACATAATGGCACAATTTAGTTTTGCTTAGAGTATCACTTTAAAGGTATAATTCAGGGTAGGATTTGTAAAGGGAAACACAAGTTTTCAAATTGTTTATATTTTAAGTGATATATACATTATAATGTATGCCTTTTCAGGCAGCATTACTGGATCCTGGCTGAGGTCCAATCAAATGCTTCTCATGAAGAATCATTGCTGAACCATGGGCACATGATAGAGAAGCATTGAATCCAATGCTTTTCTTTTAGAAGCAGTGAACACTACACTGGGTATGCAGTGACAGCTCATATTGCCCTAAAGTCCTTCCACGGCATAACAGTGCAGAGGAAGAGCATGTGGGGGGCAAAGAGGGATTGGTTTGGGGGGGTTGAAAATAAGAAGGGAAATAGAGTGTAAAATATGATGCAAATAGGGAAGGCACAGTTGGCAGGCATTGGGGAGGGTAGGGACAAATTCACATTAAGCCCACAGAATTCTTCTTACAGAAGCATTCACAGCGCTGCCTGCAAGTGAAGATGCTGATCACGTGTGTCACTAACGTGCAGAGCTACAGCAAATATACTCTCCTAAACTGGAATAAAAGTGAGTTTAACCAATTTGTAACTCATTCAATAATAAAATAGTGGAGTTGTCGTAATCTAAAGAGTTTAGGGAACATTATAATAATAAAAAAATAAAAAAAGATAAAATGAATGTATAGATTTTTTTCAAATTAGCATTTTCCTTTAAAACAACATATGCATCTAAAACAGATCAAATAAAAGGGTAAGCTGTGTAGAATTTACCTTTTCAATATCTTCCTCCTCATCGTCGTCGTCTTCATCTTCAGAAAAGTCAAGAATTTTGTTAGCGAGTAGTGGATGCCACTGAAGGCATTTTCTCTTTGGTCGTTTTCCAGTTCCTTCTCCTTCATTAGATTGATCCTTATTTCTGGTGCTGCCTTTCATTACTGTTATCTGAATGACAAAATTTGACATTTGAGAACATTATCAGAGGTAATAAAAAAATTAACACATCTAAAGGCATCTTTAATAACACATCATAGAGAATACTTTAAACGGACACTACAGTCACCAAAACAACTTTAGCTTAATAAAGCAGTTTTAGTGTATGGATCATGGCCCTTCAATCTCACTGCTCAACAGTGTTAATTTTGGTGCCAAATTTTAATTTTGTTTTAATCATAATCTTTTGATTAAAAGGCCATTTTAGTTTTCGTCATATTTTAGTCATCAGAATTGTTTTAGTTTTAGTCGACTAAATGTCCAGTAGATTTTAGTAGACACAACTAAAATCTGATGGGTTTATCTATATGTCTCTTTTGCCCCTTCCCTAGCACTTCCTCCCAGCCCCTTTAGGTGTCTCTCTCGCAAGCCCTGGTCTTTCTCTTTTGGCCCTTCCACAGTCCCTCTCTGCAGTGTTCATTTTGGCACCAAATTTCAATTTAGTTTTAGTCATAGTCTTCTGACTAAAATGTGTTTTTAATTTTAGTCATAATTTAGTCATTTTAATTGTTTTAGTCGCCATATTTCAATTTAGCTTTAGTCATAGTTTTTTGACTAAAAAGCCATTTTAATTTTAGTGATCCTAATTATTTTAGTTTTAGTCAACTAAATCTAAAAAATTGTAATCAACTAAAATTTGACTAAAATTATAACTTTTGCTTTCTTTAGAAGAAGTTCTGTTTTTTGGTTTTTGTCTGGAGTATTTGATGCTCAATATAGGGGTAACCCCTTATTACACCCTCACTAGGTGACCCTATAAGAACCCTTATTGCTTTCTGATGTAAACATGTTAAAATATAAAATGAGCCATATTTTTGGGCTGGAACTTCTTATCACAAAATCTTATAACAGGGGAGAATATAGATGCATTTCTCTGTTGCTAAACAGGTATAAAAACAAATGGCTACATATACTTATAAACTATTTCTATGTAACAATTCCTAACGCTAACCTCTAATCCTATTTTCTAACCTTTGCTCCTCACCATCATCCATGATGAGTTTGTGGCATCTAGTTATTTGGCTGAGGCCCAAATGATGAATAATTTTACTGTGATCGTTTTGGGCCTCAGTCAAATAGTCAACAATTAACTGGTCACTACCAAAGCTATAATATGTAATATTTTGTAATTGTACTTGTAACGGATCGCCTGGCACCCCGACTGGGTACCTCCGTTAAAGGATGCTCCTAGCACTTCCTGAGGACTCCAAGCACTGCAGCAGACACCAAAATCACCGAACCAGAGAAGCGTATACCTTTTCTCAAGCATATGAATGCTGTAGACAGTTGAATAGGAACCATACGAATAGGTTTACTCTCCTAGCAGTCAAACTGGAACAGCATACAATAAATCCTTCCCCCAATAATGAGACGACACTTCACTTTGAGGGTTAAAACAGGAACTCCCTGTACTGTCACATACAGTCTCTTTTATTCCCAATCCACAAACATAGTACAGCCCACAGGGCGTTACAAAACAACCAATCACATCACAGTTACATCCCACATATTCCCTCCCCTTATCCTGAGAGGAAACTCAATTATACATACAGTTAAAACATACTTTCTACCCAACTTTCATAACTCCAAAACCATACATCACATTCACATAAAATTACATATTCACAATCAATCCATTCAGGGGAACAACATATTAAAAAATGGCACAAATCAGACCAGGGGTTCAAAAGTTAGTAAAAAGTCCTTTGTGACTAAATGAAGCATGGCTTTCTGGCCCAAACCAGTTTCAGAGTCTTCTATCCTGGAGAGTAATTCAATTATCTCCCAGGACAGACACAAGACTCCATTAAGCACATGGTTGCAAAAAGACACAAAACACTTTAAAATACATAAAGTAACCTTTTCACATAACACACAGACATTTCACATATCCCCAGATAGCTGGGATCTGAGCGCACAAAACTACTGAAGAGCGCTCAGATCCTATTCACACAGTTCAATTGCTATGGAGCCGAAGTCTTTAACTACACAAATGGGCTCCATGGCATAGCTATCTGGGTTAACACATTCTCATAAAGTCTGGTCCATAGTCCAAAGGCAAGAGGCGGGCAAGCAGCCCCCTCCAAGGACACGTGGCGAGGCCGGTTTCGCCACATTTCTCCCCTTTACCATCCAGACTAACAGGGTATCTGACCTCCTGCCGGTCAGTGCCCTGGTTAGTCCAGCAACCCACCCACGAAGCACAAACAGCAATACAGCCCACCCACAATAACTGGTTACTACACCTGGATAAAATAGCAACTTGTCCATGTCCAGGTGCCTCACCACGGCTGTGCGGGGGGCTGGTAGACTGCCTTGGTGGGTTGCTGAGTGGGCAGAGACCAGCGGTACTCTGCCCGGGTGCCAGCGCTACCACTGAAGTAGCCTGGTTGGAGCCTGGTTGTGGGAGGGGGAGACCGACTGTCTCCCCTCTGGATACACTGCTCTGTGGCTGGGGGACAGGACCGACCGTCCCTACCCCTGGTGCTGCAAGTGCAGAGACTACAGTCCCATCTGCATAGTTGTGGGGCTTAACATCTCCCCTTGGTGGGTTAGGCTGCCGCTGGAGAGAGGGTGTAACAAGCTCCTCTCTCTGAACTGTAGACTGCCGCTGGGGAGAGGGGGTAACCTGCTCCTCTCCCTGACACTCTCTTTGCTGGTGGAGAGGGGGACCAACTGTCTCCCCTTTCAATATTTTGTCCTGCGGCTGGGGTGCGAGACAGACGGTCTCTGCTTCCTGGGGTACACACTGCCGCTGGGGAGGAAGGACGGCACCTTCAGCTCCCTGGGGTACACACTGCCACTGGGGAGGAAGGACGGCACCTTCAGCTCCCTGGGGTACACACTGCCGCTGGGGAGGAAGGACGCCACCTTCTGCTCCCTGGGATACACACTGCAGCTGGGGAGGAAGGACGACCCCTTCGGCTCCCTGGGACTCACACTGCCGCTGGAGATCTGGGCCGACCGCCCAGCATCCCTGTAGGGCCGGTAGAGAGACCGCCGTCCCATCTCCACCTGCCATCTGTGGGTCTTCCCAGGACCAGTCTGTGAGGTCCCTCAACATTTGCGAGTAAGGACCACCTGCTTCCGCACCTGGCAACTCTGGCTGCTGCTGGGGATCTGGGCCGGTCCCATCTCCACCTGCCTGTTGTGGTTCCTCACAGGACCAGTCTATGAGGACCCCTACTTCGGGTTCCTGCGGCCGCCTCAGGGGGAGACGGCTAGCCTCCTCGGATGCAGCCTCTACTCGGCTGCTGTAACACTCCTTCCGCTGAGCATACTCTCTCTCTTTCGCCAGCCGGAATTCTCGGGCCAGCCTTGTGTTTCGCTCGGCCGTGACCTGGTTCCAGATCACCCGGCGTACCTCCATGGGTAAATCATCCCCATACTGGGCCACTCACTGCCTCACCTCGGCCATCCAATCATCGCCAGAGCATTCCATACTTGTCTGCTCCAAGTCGCTGGATACCTCTGCTCCCAGGGGCGCTGCACGTGTGCTAGCGTTGCCCTCAATTTGTAACTCCAAACGAACTGTGTCTCTGAGTTGCTTTACCTCGCACTAGGACGCCGTCCCACCGCTGCCACCAATGTAACGGATCACCTGGCACCCCGACTGGGTACCTCCGTTGAAAGATGCTCCTAGCGCTTCCTGAGGACTCCAAGCACTGCAGCAGACACCACAACCACCGAACCGGAGAAGCATATGAATCCTCTCAAGCATATGAATGCTGTAGACAGTTGAATAGGAACCATACGAATAGGTTTACTCTCCTAGCAGTCAAACTGGAACAGCATACAATAAATCCTTCCCCCAATAATGAGACGACACTTCACTTGAGGGTTAAAACAGGAACTCCCTGTACTGTCACATACAGTCTCTTTTATTCCCAATCCACAAACATAGTACAGCCTACAGGGCGTTACAAAACAACCAATCACATATCAGTTACATCCCACATATTCCCTCCCCTTATCCTGAGAGGAAACTCAATTACACATACAGTTAAAACATACTTTCTACCCAACTTTCATAACTCTAAAACCATACATCACATTCACATAAAAATTACATATTCACAATCAATCCATTCAGGGGAACAACATATTAAAAAATGGCACAAATCAGACAGGGGTTCAAAAGTTAGTAAAAAAGTCCTTTGTGACTAAATGAAGCATGGCTTTCTGGCCCAAACCAGTTTCAGAGTCTTCTATCCTGGAGATAAGTAATTCAATTATCTCCCAGGACAGACACAAGACTCCATTAAGCACATGGTTGCAAAAAGACACAAAACACTTTAAAATACATAAAGTAACCTTTCACATAACACACAGACATTTCACATATCCCCAGATAGCTGGGATCTGAGCGCACAAAACTACTGAAGAGCGCTCAGATCCTATTCACACAGTTCAATTGCTATGGAGCCGAAGTCTTTAACTACACAAATGGGCTCCATGGCATAGCTATCTGGGTTAACACATTCTCATAAAGTCTGGTCCATAGTCCAAAGGCAAGAGGCGGGCAAGCAGCCCCCTCCAACGACACGTGGCGAGGCCGGTTTCGCCACAGTACTCAAACTGCACCTTAACACATTAGGCATTCTAACTGGGTTCAACAACCAATAAATCATATGTAATTAAATCTAACACATACTATCAGGATGGATATAAAGAAAACAGAATTTAAACTGAAATCTCAGCAAGCCTGTATAAACACAACAGTGCACACACACGTTCAATGTTTAAGATCTTTGTTTTTGTTCATTGCTTGAATAATCTTTTCTAAACATATGGCGCAGTAAGCCTCACTGATCCAAATAATTCCAGTCTTGTATAATAATAGAAGCAACAAAGCAATGTATTCTGTTTCCTGAAATGTATTTAGTTAGTTCAATTAGTAAATAAAATCAGATATGCTTGTATTATATAATCAATTAACATGG